TCAGACATATAGTCACACTGCTGTGGATATTTAAGACTCATCTATCTACAAGCAGAATGATTTTGGCACTAGACAAGTAACAACGGATTTCTGACAAGTGTGCTGCGTTAAGAAACAAACTTTTGACTTCAGTAATTTAACGTGGCTGTATGACGACGGTCTGTTTGGACGGTTTGTTTGTTGTTTAACGTTGCATTCAGTTATAGTACCAGCTATATGACAGAGGTCTGTAAATAAATATCGAATAATCGGGTCTGGATCAGACTATTCAGTAATTGATATCATGAGCATCAATCCACTCAATTGTGTAGACTACTGGACAGTCTGGTCAAGGGCTTGATTATTTACATACCTCAGTCATATGGCTGTAATATTTGCCTCAGTTTGCACCAGCCATGACTTTTTGAAGACTACTGTTGGATATTTCATTTGAGGAGATAATAACTATGTTTTATTGTCGCTATTAGCAATTTACACCAGAAGATGGGCTTCTCATATTGTACCCTTTCATTTTCTGTCATAAGCAAACAATTAGGACATGGCTCTTCTGCTGCTTCCTCACATCTCAGAGGGCTGATGTTATGCAGAGCCAAAAATTCCTTTTGAGATAATTTTATTTAAGACCATTACATTGCGAGAATAGGCTGTCATGTAAATTTCTGAGTGTTTTAGTGTGGGTGCTTATAAGAAATACTGACAATACAGCAATATCTGAAGTTGTAGATTCATTTACCATGTAGTCTCTGAGGAGGAGATGTTTGCAGATGCTGATTTTGGTAAAGGATGGACACTGAACATGACATGCTTCACTTACAGTCAGGTGAGCTAACCTCAGACATCAAACTTCAAACTCATGAAAAACAATAGACAGTAGAGGTTTTGTGTGGTTTTAATAACATTTGCTCAAACATGTTCAAGTAAAATGGCTGTAAAACCAAAGGATTATTTCCCTGACAACCAGTTGTTTATCTGGCATGACAGCAGGTTCCTCCTCGGGTCTCAGGGCAAACCATGGGGTCATTGCAACTGTTAGATATGTATCACAATCACTTTCCTCAAGTTTTGGGTATGCAGAAAACAAGGTCAATTGCCATAAGTCTGCATCTCCCCAAAGCAAGGGAGTTAACTGACTTGAAGAGTCAAGTTTCCACCCTTGCCAAACTTGGCTGGAATTTCCAGGTTCGATCGTAGCGCCATCAGTGGGAATTACTGGTCATGACCCTTCTGAGTCCCTCCTATTGACCATTCAGATTCCACCTCTCATATAACTTGCTATTGCTTCAAGCAAAATGTTGGCACCCAGTCTAGACGATCTGATTGATAATCAGGATCTACATTGTAATAAAACAGGTCTTACCTTGCAAAGTGCATCAAATAATGTGAGCACCTTGATTAAAAACATGACAAGATTTGGAATATATAAGTTGACGCTAAATTGGCGGTACACATGCTTTGCAAATCTGCAATCAACCAAATCTAGGCGACAGTTTATGAACCGAATGTCGATTTTGTTACACGATATTGATTGGACTATGCATTGACTCGTTAGTCCAGCCAAAATATAACTCCATAATTCCAGCCTAGTTCAGCAAGAGTTGAAACTGGACTTTCACAGTCAGTTAACTCCCTTGCCTCAGGAAGATGTTAGTATGTGAAAAGAAACACCACAAAAACATGACGCCATATGTAAACCACATCATAAAGTCTGAGAATTAAGTGAGTGAGTGAGTAGAATTTTAAGCTGGTTTAAACAACATCCCAGCAATATCATGGCAAGGAACACAAACAATAGGATCCACACATACTAATGGGAGAATGAAATCGGTGGTTTCAGTGTAGTCACTGGGCAACTCCAGGTAACACGGACAGTAACATACAGAATCCCTTCACCACATTATATCTCTGCTATGCATGCAAATGACTACCAACACTAAGCATGCCAGGGTTGCTTCTGGAGTGAGCTGTATGGCTTAAGGGAGTCTCCAGATTATAACAACATCAGCATGTCAATAACAACAAACATAACCGTACAATCCCAACTTAGTGGATTCTCAAACACTGGAAACAAACAATAGAGAGCACAACAAATCTGTTACTTGTTTGTCAGACCTGCTGTGTGCTTTATCCCGAACAAAGGACAAAGTCCCTTTCAGGGTCACTGGAATGCCGAGTCAAACTGGTACGGATCTAGGAATTTGTTCTAAAAACGCATATGACCGACAACAGCAATATTTAAATAACACTCAATTTCGCTACATCACAATGCTACCCGTGAAGATCCGGGGTAGAATAGGTGACTATGATTATCGTAAGAGGCAGCTGGGATCGGGTGGTCAGGCACGCAAACTTGGTTGATGCATGTCATCGTATCCCAATTACATGGATCAAGGCTTATGATTGCAGTCACTGGATTGTCTGTCCAGACTCGATTATTTACAGACCGTGTCATGTAGCTGGAATATTGCTGAGTGAGGTGTTAAACAACAAACAAACAAAACATCACAATGCTTCCGGATTCTTTGAGATTGTGCACAGCTATTGAACATGTCATTTGCTTTTGAGCAGAGTTGTCATGGTGCGAGGCATGGTGTCCGTTCATAAATAGAAAGACAATGCTGTGGTTATTGCTGGTATGGACACGCGTTAAATTGATCATGTGAGCATAGAAGGAAACAGCAGATTGAATATTGAACTAAAACTGGCTCCCACCCTGTTGTGGACAGGTTGTGTTGGTGCCATACGGTGACCAGTTATATAACCCTTTTTTTAGACATAAAATTTTGGGCATGCAAGTAAGAAGACATTGACAAATCTAACACAGCAGCCAATAAGGCTACGGAATCACCAGTAGATTAAAAAAAATGTGTGTACAGCTGATTTCTACTTCCGGTTTTGTTTACAAGAAAATACAGATAGTAATCTTAATCTCTCCATAGAAAACAGTGCCTATCAGAACAGGAAATACAATTTAATCGGTAAATCATCATGTCTCAAATTTCAAATTTGTATTGACCAATTTTACTTGTTATGATCTGTTCGTTTCCCTGAATTCGATGAAGGGATACGATGTAATTTCCAACTGTCACTTTCATGATCTGATAAGCGATGTTCTGATTGGTCAGATGAAAGGTCGTTCTGACATGACCCGCAATGGGATGTCCTCAGATCTTTGTTTAGCAGTAATGAGAACTAATATCCGATTTTAATGAGATTAGGGACAGATCTCAGTTGCCTGTGTATGACCAGTCAATGGGAGATAACTCCTGCCTGGATCTTTGTTGACACTGAAACTACCCATTTCGTGGGCTTTATCTCCAAGCCTACAGGCTGCAGTCTCAAGACTCTCAACATCATTGACAAGAAGCTAACTGACTGTTTTATGCTTCACTTGTTGAAAGAATCATCTAAGATCAGCCGGAAATGAGCTTGACACATTGTACCCATTCGGGAATCGAACCCGGGTCTTCAGCATGACAAGCAAACGCTTTAACCACTAGGCTACCTTACCGCCTCTTATTGACTTAAGGTTAACCTGTCTGTTTCATGAAGTTTCATGAACAATTGTTGCATATTTCATGGTTTCCTTCTGGTGTTGACCCCCGACTGTACGTTGACATGTGGATTTAATGAAACCAGCTCAATGTCATGTCTTTAAAAAATATTTGTCATTTAGCTGTTGCTCACTTGTGATTTTGTTACCCAAGCGACTTTAAAATTTCATGGACACGGGAAGCATTGCAATCTCATTAAAATCAGATCGTAGTTCTCTCTGCTGCTAAACAAAGATCTGAGGACATCCCACCAATCAGAGCGTCGCTTACCAGATCATGAAAGTGACAGTCAGAATGTGATTTCTAATCATGCATCCTCGAAAACCTTTTACATGGGGTATTCTGAACGATAGTTACGGGGTTAACGACTGAATCCATACAATCTAGACCATCTATTAGCCATTCCAGAATGTTTTGTTCAGATGTTTAATCGAGAATTTGTCAAAATGTATTTCAAAGCGTAGTCGCCAATTTGAAATTAGTGCCGTAAAGCACGAGTAAGCTGCCTTCTGATTGGCTAATGTTGACTTCTTGTCAGTCATTCCATTGGTCAATCAAAGTTCGCGCAAGGTCAGTCTGACATGACCCGTCAAGGGATGTCCTCAGATCTTTGTTTAGCGGTAGCGAGAACTAAGATCGGATTTTAATGAGATTGGAAGCATTGTGACTTACAATGAGACTTACCTGTAAGCTGAAGTGACTAGCTCTGCTACGTCATGGAAGGATGGAGGTTTACATGCCTTCACTTCCCACCCAATAACTCCATCCAGATTCATCATATCTGGTGGAACTTAATGTCCCACTCTTGCTCTAAATATGCAATCATTCCGTACAATCTCATGTAAACCTCCAACATCCGACGTAGTAGAACTACAATTTAAAAAAGTATGGATTTTTAGTTTTTTTCACAAGAGATTATATTTTTGTATCTTTAGCAAGTCTCTTTTCCAAGCTGATATTTAATGTTGATTATCCCAACAGTGTAAGTAATCCAAGTTTATGGGTAATTAGTACTAATAACCTCACTATTACACTGAAATAGAGATGTTTTGGTCTGGATACTTTACGCAGTTTCCAACATATTTAAATGATGAAATAGATATTTGGAATAGAGACCTTTATGATTTATAAAGTCTCATCCAGCATTAAGTCTGACAAACAAGTGAATGATTTGCCATGATCATATATACAATTCCTCACAAATCACATACCGTATTCGACGTAATAAGCGCCCAGGGCACTCTCAAAATTAGAAATAGGGAGCTCTTATTAGAATATTATTTTGGTGAAAAAAACAGAGTTGAAAGATAAATTTCATGGTTTATGCTGACAGCCTGAAATGTTTATATACAACAGATATATATTCCATAATTAAGGGTGCATATAACACACGAGTGCGTATTATACGCGAATAAACAAGTCTTTTGTACATTGATCAATTGGAAGGGTGCTAATTGGGATTGTTCCCTAGTCAATATATTAGTAAATATCGCCGTGGGCGCTTGTTAGAGCGGGGCGCTTATTACGTCAAATACGGTATTATTAATCTTAATGTAATACAAACACATTCTAAGTCATAGCGGCCATTTGTCACAGGAGTTTCATCATAATGTCTGACTAAGCGCATCATTCAGCTGCGCCAGTTCGTCCAGTGGACCAGGGACGTGCATGACAGGCAGCTGTTGATTGACCAGTGGACGAGGCTGTGCGATCTTGATTGCAGGGCAGGGTATGACCTCGTCAACCTTTGAGTTTTGAATATGGAAGGCTGGCGCTACCCATGACCCACAAGGGCATCTTTCGCCTACAACAATAGGATGTCTTTGTTTTACAACAATGTTTAATTACAATTCTTCACAAGCTGGAATACACGATGTTCCCCTATTGTCTGAGGTGAGGAGAATTTGGGTGTAACGTCGCTTTCAAGATTATTGCACTTGTACGACATGCATATACGTGTGTGTGTGGCTGCTTGAACTAGTCCCGACTAATGCCAATTTCATAGTGCTAGCTCACTGAGATACCATGCCTTAGTTTAACATGAATACCCCATTCAGACACATTGTACTGACTCCGAGCCGACCAGTCCTTGTTTAATCCACTTCAATCTAATTAAAATCAGATCTTAGTTCTCGCTACCGCTAAACAAAGATCTCAGGACATCCCATTAGGGGTCACGTCAGAATGACCTTTCATCCGACAAATCAGAGCGTCGCTTACCAGATCATGAAAGTGACAGTCAAAATGTGAATTCTAATCATGCAGCCTCGAAAACTTTAAAACGGGGTATTCCGAACAATAGTTACGGGCTTAACGACTGAATCTATACAATCTAGAGCATATTTTAGCCATTCATGCATGTTTTGTTGATCAGGTTTCAAATTTTTAAGAGAGAATTTGTCAAAATATGTTTCGAAGCGTAGTCGGCAATTTGAAATTAGTGCCGTAAAGCACGAGAAAGCTGCCTTCTGATTGGCTAATGTCAACTTCTTGTCAGTAATTCCACTGGTCGGTCACTTGTCAGTAATTGGTCGGTCAGAGTTTGCGAAAGGTCGGTCTGACGTGATCCTTAATGGGATGTCCTCAGATCTTTGGTTAGCGGCAGCGAGAACTAAGATCTGATTTTAATGAGATTTAATCCACTTATGCTGAACACCAAGCAGGGTAACAACAAGTACCATCTTTTAACATCTTTTGATATGACGTGGCCGGGGATCGAACCCTGGACCTTCCACTCTCCGAGTGAATGCTTTGCCACTAGACCGCGGAGGTGGTAACCTGAGTACATTGCGTCGGTTGGTTGGTTGGTTTATTGTTTAACGCCGCACTCAGCAATATTCCAGCTATATGACGGCGGTCTGTAAATAGACCAGACAATCCAGTGATTGATATCATTAGCACTGATCCACGCAATTGGGATCGATGACATGCATCAACCAAGTCAGCGAGCCTGACCACCCGATCCCGTTAGTCGCCTTTTACGACAAGCATATACATGGCGTCGGTATGTGCTAGATGTGCTATTTGTAACTAATGAATATGCTTCCAGCAAGATGGGTCCTTCACATCTCATAAAGAGCAGTGGTTCTTGCATCCTCTGGCTCTACACATTGCTTGAATGTCTGGCCAAGATAGGGTATGCACAAAGTTCATGCACAGAGCGGAGACATCTGTAAGATACACAGCCTCATCTCATTAACAGTCTTAAAACACTACATCAATTGGCAGCCCTATGTATTCGCGGGTGATAAGGGAACGTAGTGTATGTAAAGCATATAAAGCATGTAAAGCCAAGGTCATGGAAAGGACAGCTAATTGCAGTGCCTTAGACAACTCGGCCACTAGTGATGCCTTAGACAACTCCAATAATATTTGTGGAGCCTTAGACAACTCTGCCACTCTTTGCTGAGCCTTAGACAACTTGTGCACTTTTTGTGGAGCATTAGACAACTCTACCACTATTTGTGGAGCATCAAACATCTCAGCCACTATTTGTGGAGTTTTAAACAACTTGTCCACTTTTTGTGGAGCCTTAGACAACTCCACCACTATTTGTAGAGCCTTTAACAACTCGACTACTATTTGTTGAGTCTTAAACAACTAGGCCACTAATTGCAGAGCCTTAGAGAACTTGTCCACTTTTTGTGGAGCCTTAGACAACTCTGCCGCTATTTGTGGAGCCTTAGATGACTCTGCCACTAATTGTGGAGCCTTTGACAACTCGGCCACTACTTGTGGAGCCTTAGACAACTCAGCCACTAATTGTGGAGCCTTTGACAACTCGGCCACTATTTGTGGAGCCTTAGACAACTCGGCCACTAATTGTGGAGCCTTTGACAACTCGGCCACTAATTGTGGAGCCTTAGACAACTCGGCCACTATTTGTGGAGCCTTAGACAACTCGGCCACTATTTGTGGAGCCATAGACAACTCGGCCACTATCTGTGGAGCCTTAGACAACTCGGCCACTATTTGTGGAGCCTTAGACAACTCGGCCACTATTTGTGGAGCCTTAGACAACTCGGCCACTAATTGTGGAGCCTTTGACAACTCGGCCACTATTTGTGGAACATTAGACAACTCTGCCACTACTTGTGGAGCCATAGACAACTCGGCCACTATTTGTGTTACGTTAGACACCTATGGCATCTGAGTGAGCAGCTATTAGTTAAAGGAGTTCGTCAAAACATTGATGCAGCTGGATTAACCAGGATAGTTGGTTTAGAAGTAGGGGAAGTGTGGCAGTTTGGTTTATCTATGTTGTGGTCTCCTAGGCAGACAGTGTCTGAAAGTCTCAACCTGTCTACATAATGTTTGATTCGCATATTAGAAAATGTTTAACCTGAAACTCTTAGAACTTAAACACTCCTTTCCATGAATATTCATAAGGTCAGAATGTGTACTTACCATACCATATGAAGGAGCCTATCTTGGATGAACATTTTGGACAAAAGAGCTGAAAGAGGACACATAGTTCATTAAGTCAAATTCATTATTCCCTGACTTCCTCACAATTTCCTTGCATGCTTTTTCCTCAATCCTCATGAGATACGTAGGGCCCTACACCCCAATCATCAATATTCTAGCAATATCTCATAGAAAAAGATGGTTGGAAAAAAGAAGATGGTTATCAAAAAGATAATTTGATGCCAATCTTTATAAACTTGAAAATTGTAAGCAAGCCAGCTTTTTTCTTACCTTCCCCTCAATATTTTCCACCGTTCCAGCCATCCATTTAACAGGCTCTATAAACAAGGATTTCTTGCATATCATCTCTGACTTGGCCTTGTCTTCGTCCGTCCTGTGATTGGCTGACTGTTTCCCCCGCCAGTCGAATGCTGATTCCCCTTCGCCAATAGCGTGACTTAGTAGGACAGACTTTCGGAAGAGAGATGTTCTGCAACAAAACGTTGTATTTTAATGGCACTGAATTGTGGGGTAGCCTAGTGGTTAAAGTGTTTGCTCATCATGCTGAAGACCCTGGTTCGATTCCCCACATGGGTATAATGTGTGAAGCCCATTTCTGGTGTCCCCTGCTATGATATTGCTGGAATATTGCTAAAAGCTCACTCACTCACAGAATTGTGGTAAGTGTTGTGTTGTTCTGAGTGAGTTATGTTTTATGCCATTTGTAACAATAGTCCAGCAATATCACAATTCCCGAAATGGTCTTCACACATTGTACCCATGTGGGGAATAGAACCTGTACCAGTCATAAGTGGAATGAGGAAATGCTTGAACCACTAGGCTACCACCCTAGTGATGTTATATAATTAGGAGAAAGTGTTCTGTGTTTTCGAATGAGTGAGTTGGGTTTAACGCCGCTTTTAACAGTATTCCAGTTATATGGCGGCATGTCAGCTTAATGTGGGAGGAAAGCCTGAAGTGATGCAGGTCTCAGACGTTTACCACTTCGTTGAAACCCACGAGCACGGGTATGGTGCTGACAAACCTAGAAACACAATCGGGGCGAACCGGGATTTGAACCCACAATCATAGGTTTCCGTGCCCAAGGGACGCAACTCTGCACAGCGAATCGTGGCGCCTTAGACGACTGGGCCACCCGTGCCCCCTCTGTGTTTTTGATGTAGATATATGTTACCAAGAGTTGACTGAAGACTTAAATCTTGAAGAGAATGGGCATAGGGAGGTTCCCAACATTACATTGAGTGCCATGACAGTGTTCCCGTTTACCAGTAATTACCAGTTTTTTTACCGGTAAAATTGGTCTTGGACAGGTAATTCATGTAACTGCCAGTCCCTGTGGACCTTATAAATCTTTGTTGTTGAACAAAACATCGGCGATATTCATAAATAATAAGTCTATTTTTCGAATGAAGTCAGCTTGTCTGTTGCCTTCAGGGTTTCCCCTTGTCTATTTTTAGTGCATTTTCCTTTGGTTCGAGGTTAAATATATATTTGTAGCAACTTAGTCTTGAAATATAAAAATAAAAGAGAATATTGTGACTGAACTTTGTGTGAATGATGTGTAGATCTAACTAAGTTACTTCAGAGATAATGTCATGTTGAATGAATTAAAACCAGGTAATTTTTATATGTTTTTTTTGTTGAAAGTTGGGACTGACCAAAATTAGGATGGGACTGGTATTTTTTAGTGTTGCCAGTCTACCAGGACTGACAGTATCAAAAGCCAGTGGAAACACTGCATGAACATGTTATTTCATCACACCATATGTAATTCTGCAAACTACATGATAACATCTTCCCGAGGCAAGAGAGTTAACTGACTTTAAAAGTCCAGTTTCCACCCTTGCCGAACTAGGCTGGAATTACTGGGCTCGATCGTAGTGCCACCAGTGGTTTTTACAAGTAATGTCCCTTCTAAGCCTCTCCTAAGGACCAATCAGATTCCACCTCTCGTATCATTTGCGTTTGCTTCACACAAAACGGTGGCGCCCGGTCAGGATGATCTGATCGATAATCAAGATCTATATTGTGATAAAACGGGTCTTACATCGCGAAATGCATCAAATCACGTGGGCACCTTGATTCAAAAACATGTAACGATTTGGAAAATATCTGCTGACAACGAGTTTGTGGTGCACATGCTTTTCAAATCCTGCAATCGACCGAAATCTGCACGACAGTTTACGAACCGGATTTCAATTTCGGTGCGCGATTTTGATTAGACTATGTAAAGACTAGTTAGTCCAGCCAAAACGTATCTCCATAATACCAGCCTAGTTTGCCTTGGGAAGATGACATGATAACTGCAAATATAAAGGGCAAAATGATGTTTTCAATATGGCTGCCATGCTAAGAATTGGACCTGCACACTCATGCTTTATTCCCATTGCTGGGAATAGCCAGGCATTTCAGTTTCAAAAGCCTTGTGGTTTCCTAGGAGATGTTGAAAATGTAACACGTCATGACCTAAGGAATATAACATAAAACTATACAACTCAACATTTGACAGGTATAGAGTGTCTAGGCCGGACCTCAATATTGGTTGCCAGGAGATAGTATCAAACAAATAATACCATATTCAACGTAATAAGTGCTCCGGGCATTCTCAAAATTAGAAATAGGGGGCTCTTATTAGAATATTATTTTGGTGAAAAGAAACAGAGTTGAAAGATCGTAAATTTGGTGGCATGGGTCTTGTGTTGACAAACCTAGAAAGACAATTTTGGTGATCATAGGGTTCAGCCATGCCCAAGGGACACAACTCTGCACAGCAAATTGCAACGCTTAGCCGACTGGGCCACCCGTGCCCCCATAAGTGCTAGTGGCTACTACTGGCCCTTCCTAATACCAAAGTCTATTGCTCTAATATATTATGTTTAAACATATTTGTGATGTGAAGGGGAAAGGATGAATATATGTAATGTGTTCTTGATGAAACTATGATATCTAATGAAAAAATTGAATGTACATACAAGTTTGAATAAGTCCCCCCCCCACTCCCCCAAAAACTCGCACACACACACACACACGCACGCATACGCACACACACACACACACACACACACACACACACACACACACACACACATCTTTGTAAGCCTAATATTCCACCCATATGACGACGGGCTTTATATAATCGAATTTTGACCAGACAATCCAGTGACATCATGAGCATTCATCCACACAATTGGGATACGATGACATGCATCAACCGAGGCAGCGAGCCTGACCACCCGATCCCGTTAGTCGCCTCTTACGGCAAGCATGGGTTGCTGTCACGGAAAACAATGGCCATTGTTACTCAAAATTGGAATAACAGCATTATTATTTTAACTGGTCCATATGAATTTTCACCAGCCTTGGACCTGAGGACAATACTGGCGTCATATGCTGATAGCAACATGGGTCTACACACAGTTGGTCATACTCACCGACACTTTCTACACTTGTACACCACATCATCTTGTCCGGGGCTGTCTGGATCAGCAGCAAACATGTCGGACGGGACCTCCCCTGAGTACACGCCTGGAGTCAAGTAGTCATCATAATATTACATGTTCAGATAATGTGATTTGGTTGGTTTGATGTTTAACGCCGCACTCGGCAATATTCCAGCTATATGACAGCGGTCTGTAAATAATCGAGTCTGGACCAGACAATCCAGTGATAAATATCATGAGCATCGATCCTAACAATTGGGATCGATGACATGCATCAACCAAGTCAGTGAGCCTGACCACCTGATCCCGTTAGTCGCCTTTTACGACAAGCATGGGTTGCTGAAGACCTATTCTACCCTGGAATCTTCACGGGTCTCAGATAATGTGAACAGATGATAATACCCTAAAAACATGTGAACAAAAAATAATTGATAACTCACCACATGTAAAACCAATATTCATTAAGAGGGGGGGCACGGGTGGCCCAGTTGTGATTCACAGTGCAGAGTTGCATCCCTTGGGCACGCCAGAAACGATTGTGGGTTCGAATCCCAGTTCGCCCTGATTATGTTTCTAGGTTTGTCAGCACCATACCCGTGCTCGTGGGTTTCACCGAAGTGGTAAATGTCTGAGACCTGCATCACTTTGGGCTTTCCTCCCACATTAAGCTGACATGCCGTGATATAACTGGAATACTGTTAAAAGCGGTGTTAAACCCAACTCACTCACTCACTCATTAAGAGGTCAAAATAACAAAATGGTTTGTTAAACAATCAAACCACAAACCTGCTCATCTGAAATACCTTTAAAATTGCGTTCATTGACAGTTTTGTGTTTGGAATGGACAAACCTGACACATGCTGACAACTAGGAATATCATCACTAACAAAAGTGTATGACAAAAATTTGTAAGAAATGATTTAACTGGGCTATATCATCTATTAAGTTAACTTAAGCAACTTGATGATGAATATAATTTATAAAGTATAAATTGATCTGCCAAACAAATCAAGATGATCAAATAACATACCTTCGTAACAACTTCTGAAATATCGTGTTTGCAACCAAAAATATCCATACAGATTGTGAGCATACCATCATAAAAATGGTTCACAAGGAAATGTTCATGCATTAATAATTCTGAGGAAGATTATGAAAAGGGCCCCCCAGGGATTTATCTAAGATTCTAAACAAAGTGCCCATGGCAGGAAATGATCAATATTTTGTTCAAAATTGGGATTTTATAAAAAGTTACAAAAATTTGGAGGTATTTTAACATTGCATTCAGTGTGATAACATTTAACTGAGCATTAATGTCTCTTTTCGCTTTAATGACCCTGTCATCAGTGATATAAATTTTTTACTGAATACAATCACTCAATTTTTTACCCTGCAGGCCATAAACTGTATTTCTTTTTTAATATTAAAAAAATAATTCTAAATAACAAATGGTTTATTTGCATGTTTTGATTCTAAAACAAACATCTCTCTTTTTTAAAGGTAAATCTATTATTTCCAAGCAGTGTTTTTTTAAACATTTACCTCAAAATTGACCCCATCAACAACTGTTTACTAATATTATTGTTCTCTTTACCTTTGCCTGTAGACGTAATAGAGCATGTGTTGACCAAGAATTTCTGTTAAACAAGAAAATAAGAGGTCTGAACCTCGTCCACAGTAACCTATGCTTTTCGTAAGAGGTAACTGTTTGATTGGCATTCTAGAATATAGTGAGTAGGTTAGCAAACGTACAACTTTATGGGTAACAACCTGGTATATTGCACATAGCGATGTTTAGATGTGGGCTCCTGGGTGCTGTGCAAAACAACTTTTGTGCTACGACTATCGTAATTCTATATTCAGATATGGGAGCTACGATCACCTTATCGTAAAGATCGCTTTGTTAAACGGCACCCAGCTTGATAATAGTGTAATCTACATCTAAACGTTCCTACACGCAATCAACCAGAAGTTGTTATCCATAAAGTTGTACGTTTTCTTCTAAGTCGTAAGAGATGACTAACTGAACTGGTTGGTCAGGATCAATGACTTTGTTACATATTTGTCATCGTATCCTACAGACATGGGATATTTGCAGTGCACATGAGCATTTATGCACAGTGAATGTTGCGCTATACAAATGCATTTATTTATAATCAATATCAACGACTGGGTTGTCATGTCCAGATTCAATTATTCACAGACCACCGTGAAACGGCTCAAAACTGCTAATGGGCCTCAATTTTATCTGGTAATATTTTCTCTCACAATAAAGTGTGAATGAGAGAATCTAAGAGCCAAAAACAAATACCCTATCTGACGTAACAAGCGCCCATGGCGCTCTCAAAATTAGAAATAGTGGGCTCTTATTAGAATACAAATTTGGTGAAAATGAAAAAGAGTTGAAAGACCGTAAATTTCATGGTTTATGCTGACGGCCTGAAATGATACAAAAGAAAAGTCTGTACGTATTATACACGACAGATATATTTTTTCCAGAATTTAATTGTGCATATAACACACGAGTGCGTATCATACACGAATAAATAAGTCTTGTGTACATTGATCAATGGGAATGGGTGCTAATTGGGATTGTTCACTAACCAATATATTAGCAACTGTTGCCGTGGGCGCTATTAGCTCATGATTAGAGCTGGGCGCTTACTACATCGAATACGGTAAGGCAAAAACCCTTGACTTACCAGCCTGTACTCGGAGCGCTAGCTGATTGAGTTTGTACATCCGGAAGCCGTTGTGTTTCTTGTCGATGTGACACCCCATGTCTTCATACAGCTGAAGCTGTTCCATGAACCCGCGGTTCGGCCTGTAATCAATTGTCAAATACAAGTCTAACTTGTTTGTTTTTTTATTGCTTAACGCCGCACTCGGCAATATTCCAGCTATATGACGGTGGTCTGTAAATAATTGAGTCTGGACCAGACAATCCAGTGATTGACATCATGAGCATCGATCCGCGCAATTGGGATCGATGACATGAATCAACCAAGTCAGCGAGCCTGACCAACCGATCCCGTTAGTCGCCTATTACAAGCATAGTCACCTTTTACGGCAAGCATAGGTTGCTGCAGACCTATTCTACTCCGGAATTTTCACGAGTCACAAGTCTAACTATTTCAGTATTCTTATCATCAATAGGTAATAAGTTTGTCAAGGTCACTCAAGAATTATTTTTAATCAGACTGGCATGCTGAGAGGAATCTAGAATCCTGGCATGATATCTGACTGACTCAATTCATTTCCTTCATTTTGATTGCTAACGTGGTTCGATGCTCATGATATCAATCACTGGGTTGTCTAGTCCAGATTTTATTATTTGCAGACCACCATCAAATAGATGGGATATTGCTGATTGCAGCGTTAAGCAACACACAAACAAAACAAACATTTTGATTGGGTGCATGGTTGACTATGCTTGTCAAAGCAGGCGACTAACGAGATCGGGTGGTCAGGCTTGCTGACTTGGTTGATGCATGTCATCATATTCTAATTGTGTGGATCGATGCTCATGATGTCAATTACCGGATCGTCTGGTACAGACTTGATTATTTACAGACCGCCGTCACATAGCTGGAATATTGCTGAGTATGGTGTAAAACAACAAACAAACTAAGCATAGTTAACTCAGGGTTCACCAGATTCAATGTCCTATGGATCTTTACACAGAGAGGTATCATATTGGAGTAAAAGAAATGATGTTCAAGGGATTGTCACAAGGGATATAGGGGCGGTCAGGTAGCCTAGTGGTTAAAGCGTTCGCTCGTCACGCCGAAGACCCGGGTCTGATTCCCGACATGAGTACAATGTGTGAAGCCCATTTCTGGTGTCCACCCCCCCCCCCCTGTGATATTGCTGGAATATTGCTAAAAGCGGCGTAAAACCATACTCACTCACTCATTTTCCACACTTGCTAAATGTAGTTAAAGTGAGAATGGCAATGCCTCGCCTACTGGATGTGTGCTTCAAAGAAGAAATCTTTCAATGGTTTCTTATTGGCGTGCCTCAAACTGGTAGAACTCAGTGAGAGGTAACACAATGTCTCAGTCTATGATTTGTAGACTTTGGAACAGGTTCAGAAGATAATATGTCAATGGTCGCCCCCGCCAGGGCGCCCTACATTTGTTGGTCTGCAACACAAGTCTAGGTTCGACTAATAAAAAATCAGGCCTTTAGCAATCGTGCCCAAGTTCCTTTGCTCCAGGCCACGCGAGCTCAAGTTAGAAATCGTCTTCACTCAACAAATATATATGCGCAGCGACCACTTGATGCATCACCATCAACAAATCGACACATTTTTGTCGGACGCCCCAGAATGCAATGTCTCTAGATTTTTCGGGCCATCGATCACGTGACTGTCTGGTTTGTTTACATGCCCCGTCGCCGCGTGGCAGGACCACTCCAGTGTGGTGTCAGATAACAAACATTTACTTTTGTATGTAAATTGTTTGAGTTGTATAGGTATAACACTGACATCTGGACATTGGCATAATTTTAATAAAGCGTTAATTTTGATGTTGACATTTTCAGGAGCATTAACCATGCTGAATCATTTGATATCCAATTGTTACCATGGTTACATACCTGATTATGCTCCTCATTTTCTTGACATACGCCAAGGCCTCCTGAAGATCGGTCTGACACTTGGCCATCATGTAGGCAATCACCATTGTTGCGCTACGAGACATGCCCGCAAAACTGCAAACACAAACATGTTAAAATATTTGTCATTGCAACTTTCCTTATCACTTGAGACATGACATGCAGTTTACAAGACAAAGAAAAGAATTCTTACAATTATAAGGAACTAATGGCAATAAATCAAAGTTTTATTGTCAGATGAGACTTTGAACATTACAGAACAATGGAACGTGTGTAAATTAGAATTTTTTTACAATACAGAAAGGGGCCACGGGTGGCCCAGTCGTCTGAGGCGCCGTGATTCGCTGTGCAGAGTTGCGTCCCTTGGGCACGCCAGAAACCTATGATTGTGGGTTCGAATCCTGGTTCGCCCCGATTATGTTTCTAGGTTTGTCAGCACCATACCCATGCTCGTGGGTTTCATTGAAGTGGTGTACGTCCGAGATCGGCATCACTTCAGGCTTTCCTCCCACATTAAGCTGACTTGCCACGATATAACTAGAATACTGTTAAAAGCGGCGTTAAACCCAACTCACTCACTCACTTCAATATGGAAACACACTCGGCTTGTATTTAGTATCAGCTCTTGAGTCCTCTTTATGATATGTTACTAAGAGTTAATTGAGTTTTCACCTTAATGCCTATGCCATTATGGTTTGGGTTGTATCATCATGTTTCAATGGGGGCCATTACATCGACCATTCTGAAGCATTGTTTATAAACAATAGCCCATCACTATTGATCAGCTTGAGCTTAATCGGCTCTGCTTGGCTTATTCCATGAGAGAATTGTCTGCTCAAGTGACCACACCGTAGGTGTAGGTTTATCCCATGACCTGTCTTTTCTCTTTTTTTTGTAAAGAAATGCATTTCTTCTGAAATAAAAACAGACGGGCCTAAAGGAAGCCTTTCAGTGGGTGTTACATATTGTTTTGTATAATGATATAGACATGCTATAATACTACTAGTACTCCAACTGCGACAGTGAGTTACATGACAAAATAGTTTTACACATCAAAGTGCTAGCACCCTGTTGCGCTTTGATGACAGCCGTGGAGGAGCCAATTTATGTTGGGTTGACGGCTTCCTGTGCAGAGCTCTATTGCTTTGGTTTGAAAATTGAATTGCGCATGGACTTTGGTTGTGGCGTCACACTTGGCAATTATTTCATGTATGAATTAAAATCACACAGAACAGTCGATGTACTGCCCTTTAGCAGGTTTAGTTAGAGGCTGAATCACAGTGTTTAATTCATTTGAATTGTCAAAAAGACCCTGCTAACCTTCATCAGTTTCACAAAACATTTTAACAGAAAACGCTACAAATAGCATGAACAGACTTGAACATTAAAAAAACAATTGTTTTACCAGTGAACTAAAATTCCACCCTTGTTTCTTCCTTCGTTGATGAATTCAACACACTCATCAAAATAAGTCAGGAGATCCGTGTCTTGCAGGTCCAGTCCATGGACATACTTGCAGCTGAAATGACATGTGATCTCCTGTAACAGGGGCCGGTCATCAATGGTCAAGATGTGAGTGATGCCAAGCTCCTTCAGAGTGTCGGTGTGTAGAGCTGCCTCCATACTCCCGAGGTACAGGTCGTCAAATATTGCGTTTAGATCAGAAGGCATGGTTGACAACAAGTGAACAACACAAAGCTCCAAATATAAACGGTCGAACACGGCCCTCCTTCTGTTTATGACAAGAAACCGTATAATTTGTGTTGTGCAATCATTTCAGAAATTGTAACTCGTTCATGTGCGCAGCCATCTTGGATATATTAAAGTCCGGTAACTCTCAAAAAGCTTTCGATAAGAAGACCACACAAAACATTAACGTCACTCGGCTTTCCTCCAAATATATAGTCCACAGGTCATGTTGGACGGAAAAATCCCATTGAATCCATATGTCTGCAATAATTATTTTTCACTTTATTTTGTTGACTTAGCATAAGTCAGTTAAGTCATATTCAAATGTCATACGAAATTAAAATGAAAAAGTTTTATATCTAGTTTGTCTCACAGCCTCTGATGCATACTATTTTCCCTTCCGCTCAGCCGTTACTGTTGTACTAGAGTCCTAAATGAAGCAAGTCTAGATTTCCCACGGGTTCCCATATCTAACTGGGGCTCCTTTACAATTTAAATGTAGTTGTTTGTTTCTATTGTAGCGGAGCCTTGAATCGTCCCATAGATGACACCCTTACTTCGTCAGTCTGCTGACGGGCTTAACCTCTTTGGTCATGTGGACAAGACGTTTGAACCCGGATCAGAAGGTCCTTGTATCGAATCCCATCACGGGACTTGGAAATTTTAAGCCCGCTAAAAATATATATATTTTTTCAGAGACTAAGCGTTAGTTTCGTCCTGTACGTGACACGTCGGTTTATGGGACCTTTACACAGGATGGCGACCTTTGTGCCTCCCGTGTGCGACAATGTTATTTGCCAGGTCGTCGTTGGAGGCTCAAAGGAGGCAGACTGGTTGCCTAGGTCGTTCCAAGGTGGTACACATGAGGTTCGGACATCGAGGCCATGGTCGCCGTGAATTTTTGAACATGTTCAAAACAGTCGCACAAAGGTCGCCGAAGAGGTTGGTTGCTCAAAGGTGGCTCAAAGGGGGCAGAAGGGAGGCACAAGCATTGCCGTTGTTGCAGAATGAAGGCACAGTGGTCGCCCAATGGTCGCCAGGTAATAGCTGTGTTCTGCTGCAAGTTTTCCCTCTCAATCTGGGCGAAGCTTCTGTCTCCCTTTTGCCTCATTTGGGCGACCAACAGCGTGCATTGAACGATGACTGTGGCGACCGCCGTGCCTCCATTCGGCGACCACGGCAACCCTTGAGACACCATGGCAATACTTCTGCCCCCTTTCTGCCTCTTTTGAGCTACCTGTAGTGCCTCCTCAGCTTGCCTATAAATAGAGGGCGTGTACCTGCAGTGTTTCATTGTGGTTGCAGACGCTGAACAATTCGAGCAGTTACTGCTGAACAACTGCTGGAGCAGTTACATAGAATCATGATTTTCTGAGTTTAGGCGACCAATGAGCGTCCTGGCCAGTATTTGATTGCTTAAAGGTGGCACAAAGGTCGCAGCCCTGTGTAAAGAGGCCTTTACGAAGCCACGTATCAAGCGTTATTAATTTAGCTATGTTTTTTTGTTCAAGTACCAAACCATAGAGAGTAGCCAGGATATTGCTACTGCCAAGCGCACACTGCTCGTGGTCTACTGCACTTAAAAAACTGCACACTGCATGTGATACAGGTTTCGTTGAGACTTGAAAATAAATTGCAGCAATATCACTCGGGGTATACGTGGTTTTATGCGTCCTCTGTTAACTCACATACCACGAGCCTGGGATCTTGCCGACATATTCCAATCTCCCTTTGTAAAACAAAAAAAATGAAAACTGATAGAGGGCAGTAGTTGATTCAGGTTATCTGGTGCTGTGTCGCGTGTCTTTCACTGCCTCGTAAACAACGTGCATTTTTTGTTTCGTTGCGGGGTGCACAAGATTTATTGTCCCCATTCAGAAAGCCAAGTGCAGCCTGTATTCTTCGTGTGTGTCCCTCCCAGACGGGATACATCGTATTTTATCAAGATCACACCTGTTTATACAATATGTCGTATCACTAAAGGACAAGTATTGATGATTTTACTATTTCTCACCGAACATAATTTATCAATATCCCTGCACTTCAACACGCGCGACTTTGCTCATTCATTTTTTCAAAATAATGGCAACTATATATACTGAACAACAAAAGTTCCTGTGACATTGAATAAGATTTAATGCAAAGTTTTTACCAAATCTGAAACAATTTCGGTTTGCAACAGATAAGAGACTCCTGTAAGTGTTCAAATGGTTTAATTTGCCATACTGACTTCAGAAAATGGGTGATTTCATAAAGAACATAATGAACATGCCAAAATGTCAATTTAGAAATCAAAAGCGTTGTGTGTCCACATCTGGTTGCGATGCAAGCAACACATATTCGTCTCATGGAATGGACCAGGCGGCGCACAAAGTCCTGTGGAATATCTGTCCATATCTGCTGGAACATGTTTCGAAGTTCCTGGAGTGTCTGTGGAACACGTGGTTGACGTCGAAGGCGCCGATCCATCTCTTCCCACATGGGGAGCGAGCCGGCCAGGGGATGACATTCACGTTGTTTTGTTTAAGAGAATCCTGAACAAGTTGAGCAATATGAGGTCGGGCGTTGTCATGTTGAAAGGTAATGCCTGGTCCATGACGACGCAAAAACGGTAGAACAACAGGGCCGATGATCTCTTCGCGGTAGCGCTGTCCATTGAGATTTCTCTCTACCACCATCAAACTGGTCCTCTGTCTTGCTGTAATCCCACCCCATACCATAACGCTGCCGCCCCCGAACCGATCTTCTTCCATGACACAATGATTGACGTATTGTTCACCTGGACGTCGGTACACTCGAATCCGTCCATTTGCTGTGGCTGAGGTGAAAACGAGACTCCTCAGTGAATAGAACTTGTCCCCACTGCATGGCCGACCAGCGTAGACGCTGTCTGCACCACTACAGACGTGCTTGACGGTGGTTTCCTGTCAAAATGGGACGCCTGGCGGGTCTTCTGACGACAATCCCTGCACATCTGAGGCGGCGACGTAAAGTTTGTGAGGATATTCGTGGAAGGCCAGGGATGCTTCTTGCAGTCACTGTTGCTGGCTGGAATCGATTTCGTAGGTGTGTTGTTCGAATCCAGTTGTCTTGTCGATTATTGGTTACGCGTGGCCTGCCACTCCGAGGATGGTCTCTGACTGCATTCGTCTGTTGCCAACGTTGCCATAAACATGGTGTTTCTGTGGACGTATAATTGTCTTGCAACATCACGTTGACTCTGTCCAAGGGCGTACGTTTCGGCCCTCGGATGGTTGCTCAGGGTGATGACGGATGACACAACGGGTGAAGTTTAGACGACAGCAGACATGTTTATTGTTGACGGTTTGGAATAAGTCGAAAAGGTACATGTTGATAATAACGTGACAGAACGCACACCGGGACCGAGTGGCCAATCTTCCCGGGTGGGAGAACCGTTCTGTCACTTACACGAGTCGATCTTCTGGCTGTGTCCAGGCTGTCTCCCTGACTGACCATGTCAGTCGGGTTTTGTAGAGCGAGGTATTACGTAACGTGTGGCAAGGTCATTGTCCCACGTGTATGTATAGACGTAAGGTCCGGCGACGTTTGGAGGTGTTAATTAAAATTTATAGATAGCGCTGGAGATTAAGGGTCCTGCCCGGAGGGGCCTATGATAAGAGGGGATACGACGAATGTTTGCTGAATATATTAAACAGACAAAGGGCATAGAATTTCGGTGCACTTGGAAACATATTGAACCAGTTAGGTATTTAGATAAATGAAATGTAAAATAAAAGTATTGACATAGTTTGCACTATTTAAGTAAAAGTATTGAAATGGTTTGCACTATAACAACTCGATCCTGCTTCAGGCATACCAATGGCTCGCAGACGCTCATTTTCGGACAGGCGTGGCATTTCGTAATGTTGAATAATTGCGTAATTCTGTTGTTTTTCGTTGTTGTTTTGTGTGGTTGTTGTCAGTAACGATGCTAAACAATGCATAGGGAATCCCGTTAACGCACATGTTTTTATACCCTTTCTTGGGTAGTGAAATGCATGGGGCTTGCATAAAAGTCAGCTTTTGCATGGAATGTATGCTTTTCTGTAGCAGTTGCGTTTTTGTGACTTGATTCCATACATGTACTACAATATTGAAAACCAAACTTTACTTGTTTGAAAAATACACTAAAATATTGGTGTCACAGGAACTTTTGTTGTTGAGTATATATTCACAGTCACACGTGTGCTATTTTATTCATGACCTGCGTAATACATGCAAACTTTTCAGCCAAATGATACGTAAATTTCAAACGTTGGTCACATGAGCCTCGGATTACACGTTCATTTCCTGGCATGCAAATATTTGGCAAATACTGTCCCTTCGTGTGGTGTAATACCTTGAAATCTGGAATGAATTGTTTTTATGAAACAGTGTTAGACATATTCTATGTAGGTAATACTCGAAGATTGATATATTGACAACAATAAACATTTATTTGTATGTTTCGGTAATGTAACTGGATTTATGTAACTGGGCCATAATCCCAGCGTGGACTCGTAAGTGTTTAGCAACCAAGCCAGTTGAGTAATGACATACATACATTTCTTTTCAATATAAAACTAGCGGCCCATGATACATTCAGTTCAAATTATTTAAAATGCAAAGTTTGGATAATGGTTTATAGTTTTCAGGAAGGTGTTTACCTGATGTAAATACAAGACCCATCTTCCCGAGGCAAGAGAGTTAACTGACTTTAAAAGTCCAGTTTCCACCCTTGCCAAACTGAGATGGAATTCCTGGGCTCGATCGTAGCGCCACCAGTGGTTGTTACGAGTAATGTCCCTTCTAAGCCTCTCCCATGGACCAATCAGATTCCACCTCTCGTATCACTTGCGTATGCTTCACACAAAATGGTTGCGCCCGGTCAGGACGATCTTATCGATAATCAAGATCTATATTGTGATAAAACGTATCTTACATCGCGAAATGCATCAAATCACGTGGGCACCTTCATGAAAAACATGAGAAGATTTGGAAAATATCTTGAGACAACGAGTGGGTGGTGCACATGCTTTGCAAATCCTGCAATCGACCGAAATCTGCACGACAGTTTACGAACCGGATTTCAATTTCGGTGCGCGATTTTGATTGGACTATGCATAGACTATTAGTCCAGCCAAAACGTAACTCCAATTTTTACTCCATAATACCAGTTAAAGTCAGTTAACTCTCTTGCCTCGGGAAGATGTAAAAGACCAGGCTACATATAACATCCATGTTATTGTCTGTAAGTGATTGATTAGTGTATGGAAAGTGTTAGGCACTTTTAAGAGCTTAGAGCTGTACAAAGTGGTAACTTTTGAGTTACAATGTGTACACAGCTGCTAGTTATACTCCATCTTGTCATTACGACCAAGAACTATTTTAATCTTGGGATGTCAACTTTTTTGTATCTTGCTACATTTAAGAGTGTTTTAAAGTGAGTAATAGAAACTGATGGCCAAAAGAAACGTTACCACTTTAAAAATGAAAATGCAAAAAGTTATAAACACAAATTCAAACTAAATCAATACAAAACACTTCGTCAAAACACAACAATGCTCAACTTGGAAAGTGATACCCGTCCACGGCACGTTTCTTGCAGAAAAAGTGAAAAACACGTGCCGCCACGTGGGCAGCCGAAACTCCACGAGCAATAAGGGTATATAAGTGATACGGACGGCATGTCAGACACTCACACTGATACAAAAACCGCCACAGAAATGCCACGACTGACGCCTGTACAACGCGAGAGTGAGTGAGTGAGTGAGTGAGTATGGTTTTAATGGGCTTCACACATTGTACCCATGTCGGGAATCGAACCCGGATCTTCGGCGTGACGAGCGAACGCTTTAACCACTAGGCTACCCGACCGCCCCTACAACGCGAGAGGTCCCTGGGTATGATACATATTGGAGCCACCCATGCCCACATTGCTAGAACGTTTGGGTGGTCTCGTGTTGCTGTTGCTAACCTGATGCAATGTTACAGCCAAACCGAGCAGACATCAGAGAGACAAAGAACAGGCAGCCCCAGGGTAACTACGCCCAATGAAAACCGATACTTGTGTACTTTACATCTCCAAAATAGATTCATAACGAATGCCTTAGGACATATGGTTAATCGACAGACAGTGGCCAGGCGATTCAGGGCGCAAGGAATTAGGGCTTACAGACCTTACAGAGGACAGTTATTGACAGCGCAACATCGTCGACAGAAATTGAGATGAGCCCGGACAGTACGTCGTAGGCAACGACGTGACTGGCAGAGGGTAGCCTTTCACTGATGAAAGACGGTTCAGTCTGTTTATAGTTGATGGAAGACAGCGTGTTTAGCGCAAAAGTGGAGAACGAACGGCGGCATGTTGCATTCAGGAGGTCGTGCCGTATGGTGGAGGGGGTGTTATGATTTGGGGAGGCATTTGTGTCCAGGAGAGAACACCACTGGTCATCGTTTACGGAAATTTGACAGTTCAGCATCACATGGATGACATTCTTGGTCCGATTGTCAACCGACAAGAGCTGATCCAGGTCCTCAAAGAAGAATGGCGTCGTATTCCGCGTGACGTGACTTTTTCTGTGCGCCGGAGGGTTTTGGCGTGTCTTGTTGCAGGGGGTAGTCATACACGCTATTCATGTGACTGTACCATTTTTCCATTACCCCACCTCAATTCGGACAATTGTCATGCCAGTATCGAAAGCTGTACGTCTTTTTAAATGCTGATACCTTGATCTTTGTAATACTCCTGAAATCTGGTATGATGTTTTTAATGAAACAGGGTCAGATGTATTCTGTTTCGTTCGCACCTAAATTTTCGGTGATAGGTGAAGATTGACATAATGGCAACAATTAGCATTTATTTGTTTGTTTCGGTAATAAAACTGGATTTATATAATTGGGCTTTAATACCAATGTGGGCTCGTAAGTTTGTAGAAACGGAGCAAGTTGTGTAATGAAAGACATACATTTCTTTTCAATATAAAGCCAGCGGCCCAAAATACTTTCAGTGCAAATCATTTAAAGGGAAAAGTTTGGAGGAGGGGTTGGTCACACACGCTATTAATGAATGTGACGTGTCATTGAACTTGAACAATTTTAGATGTAGGTGCCATTAATTTTTGTGTGTTGCCCTTTGCATTTTGCTACCCCACCTCAACAACATCGTACAACTGTCATGCCAATATCGGAAGCTATACGATTGTCTTTTTAAATGCTGATTTCGTTGATATTTGGATTTTTTCAAAACATTTTACTTCATGCATCTATCTTTTGTGCTTTTCAAACTAGAGTGATTTAAAGCTATGGTAAAGTTTCTTTTGGCCGTCAGTTTAGTAGCTTTTGATGAATCATTTACAGAGAACCGCCATGGCTGCTGAAAGGTATTAGACTATCTTCGTTTATACTTACTAGATATAATAAGCCGTGGCCGATGGGTGTCTAGCCGGGAGAGCCACATTTCAGAAATGGCTATTGCCGGTAGAGCCACATTTTCAGCTGAGTGCATTTCACCTACTCTAGCGGGTAATTAATTAATCCGATTACCGATACCTTTATATGAGTGTCCCACATATAAAGGTGTTCTTTAGAGATACCTTTAAATGAGTGTCCCACATTGTCAAGGAGTGCACTGCAAGGATCACAACTCTGGGTGAGTTGCTCCACGCCATTGAGAACATGGGTCACTCCCACGACCCACAACCATTCGAGTTTGAGGTTGATGCCTTTAAGGCTAGACTGATGGAGAGAGCGAGGACAGAAACGACACCTATACCCACTATCTACGGAGAGGAGATATCCAGACTACGCCAATATCACGACATCGTCTAAGATGACCTCCTGAAGCAGATACCAGCCCTGAAGTCTCTCACCACTATCCTCTACCGCCAGAGACACAAGACCTTGCCCCGCCTTCCTGACAGCAGACCCCAGATCCAGCTGGAGGAGAAGTACTCCCAGACTGAGGGAGGCGACCAGTTCCTACACCGTGTTAGTGACGACATCCTCATCTTCACTACAGACAAGAACATTGAACATTTGTGTACTGCAGACATTGTATTTTGTGATGGTACATGTTATGCCTATCCCAAGTTGTTTGATCAGATTTATTGTTTACATGCTGAGGTGTTTGGCCATATGTTTCCATTAGTTTACTGTTTGTTGTCCAATCGAAAAAAGAGTGTTATGTCAACATGTTTCAGTACCTATGCGATTTTGCTAGTAGAGGAGGTCTAGAGTTTGCCCCACTTACATACAGTTGGACTTTGAACGTGCAGCTCACAATGTCGTGACTGTAAAGTTTTGATGAATATGTTAAAAAATGAGAAAACAAGACTTGTTTTGTTATATACGGTAAGCATGTTTTGACAGCATAGCCGCGAGAGCCACATTATACAATCACGAAACCATAAACATTGCCGCGAGAGCCACATCAATTTGGGCTATCTATTTTCGAAATGTGGCTTTGCCGGCCTGTAACCGGCCGATGCCACCATTAGAGATACGCCGAATGTTTGCTGGGGTGAGGTGAGGTGAAATGGGGTTTAACGTCGCATCCAAGATTATTGCACTTTCATAGTGTGTGTGTGTGTGTGTGTGTGTGTGTGTGTGTGCGTGCGTGCGTGCGTGCGTGCGTGCGTGCGTGCGTGCGTGCGTGCGTTAGTCCGGACTGATGCCGATTTATAGTGCTAGCCCACTGAGATACCATGCCGCAGTTTGACATTAATACCCCACTCAGACACAGTATACTGACTCCGAGCCGGCCAGTCCTTGTTTTAGCCCCTTAATGCGGAGCGCCAGGCAGGGTAACAACAAGTACCATCTTTTAACGTCTTTTGGTATGACGCGTCCGGGCGGACGCTCTACCACTAGACCACGGAGGCGGTCGAATGTTTGCTGAATACAAACAGGATAGAATTCCGGTGCACTTTGGAAACCTATTGAAACATTTAGGTATTTTGGACAAATGAATTTTGAAAGAAACGTATTGAAATTGTTTGCACTAAAACATAAATGAAACGGGAAAATACATATGAAAGATTTACTATAGATTATAAGGGGGAAATCAGATTCAAGACATAGCAGACCTAGACCAGACGGGGGAATAGATACCGTTGAAACAAGGACAGACATGATATAATAATACGCTTTAGCATATATGACCCCTAACTTATTAACGTACCACGGGAATAATGCACCTTAGAACAGACGCAGTAGATAAGATTTTTTTGTTTTGTTTTTGTTGTTGTTACCAAACGCACATTGGGGTCCTTCTGCTTATATTCGTATGTAATGATTCTCATAAATACGGATATGTATATCTATTAAATGACGCACGTTATGTGTTAAAATACTGAAGCACAGCTAGATCCCATGCGGAAATTGTTTTAATAACAATTTTATAGTGAGTTGCTGTCAACTTTAATACATGTATCAATCACGTGATTGGGCTCACATTATTTTTTTGATAATGATAAAGCGAATTCCTGCTCGCTTCAGCAAGACCTGTGATCAAACCAGATGCACAGATCGCACGCTCTGTCATGCGTGTACTATTATCATTTGCAAGCGAGAACGAATGTTATGTCAAAACTGATTGGTGGACTATTTTTAAATCGGCCTGCGATTGGTCATCCACTTCCGGGTTCCCCGTATAAACAGCCGTATACATAGCCGTTTATCCAGCCAGCGTAAACACACATTACGGGCATTCGAAACTATCGTTGACATGCGTCGAGCACGTGTTGTTTCAGTGTCTGTGGTTTATAAACACACACCAAGGAAGTTTCACCTGTGTTGTGGCGCAGTTAGATCGCAGTTCACGTAGAAGCCCGGGCAAGATGTAACTATTTCGAGGTCTGCACACAGTCACTGTCAACGGAATTGAGACGGCCTTTGGAATATTCACAGAACAGCGAACTGACGGGAAAACGACATCGACATGTCTTTGTATTTGAGTAAGGCTACAATTTCATTGATTCGTGTTTTGAATAGGACAGCAAATGATATTCAATATTGTGGATGCTATATGCTAAAGAGTCGAGCATTTCAGAACAGTGCTGTTGTCACGGACAAGTTTTCTTCATCAAGCGATAGTTTGCCCAAACTGAAACAAGTGTCACATTCTCGACCTTTGCACCAAGATGGGAAGAAGTCGCAGCATGTTTTACCCCAGATTGAGGTGCCAGAATACCCAGAGTTTGGCGAGGCAGAACCCCTGAATACTCCTGCCTTCAAAGGCCTTGAAACAGATTTCCCATGCCTCACTCGTGTGTAAGTATATGTCGCTAAATCGTAAACGCAAGAACACAGGTCCAAAACCAGATCCATTAATGGCATGTGTTGGGGTGTTGTGAGTGGGATTTTGTGTTGTTGCACGGGTATACACACATCCATCTTTGAAGAATATTCATGGTCTGGTAATATATTATTGGGAAGGGGGGGTGGGGGAGAGAGCTGGTGAGTTTAAAGGTGGCCGTTGGGTGTCATGAAAAAGAGACGGCGAAAGAGGGGGTGTCAAAACTACAGTATTCGACGTAATAAATTACTAAATTAGAAATATGGGGCTCTTATTAGAATATTGATTTGGTGAAAAAAGCAGTTGAAAGGTAATTTTTTTTTGTTTATGCTGACAGCCTGAAATGTTTATATATAACAGATATATTTTCCAGAATTGAATTGCCCATAATTAAGGGTGCAATAACACAGGAGTGCGTATTATACGCGAACAAATAAGTCTCTGTGTACATTGATCAATCGGAAGCGGTGCTAATTGTGATTGTTCACTAGCCGATATATTAGCAAATATCGCCGTGGGCGCTTATTACGCCGAATACGGTATTCACAACTACTTATGGGTGGTTACATTTGACCACTTTCCAAGTGGCATTGTGTGTTCATAGCCTTCGACCATGGGAGCTGTGCCAATTAATAATTTTACACTTGTCAGAGCAGTACACAAAGTACGTGATCTAGACTACCAGTTGTCAGACTTTCATTTTTGTGGTAACCTCTGTGGCTGAGTGGGTTAGATGGTTGACTTTGTGTGCTGGCGATTAGGACGGGACTCAACCCAAGAAAGTATGAGTGTGTACTTTACTAAAAAAGTGTTATCCCAAATATGACATTTGATAAATACATCTGATAAGGATAAACAAAAACAACATAAGGGTCAGCATGAAAGGGATTAACAACTATAATAAAGGATATATAATCCCTGTTATTTGTACCCCATCGTGTACAGTAGGTTCCTTTCTGTGGTGGCGATATCAGTCAGCCATTTTGTTGTTTATGCATACCTTTAGGGACCGACCATTTTATATTCTGGGGTGGTGGTGGGGGATGGGGATTTTATAAAAAATATTGAATTATCCATGTAAATTTTTAAAAAAGATAATTGAAAAAAAGATCTTTTGTAGCTGTAGCTGAAAAAAATCTAATCTTGATACAAAATTCCAAGACCCCAGAATATAAAATTTTCGGTCCCTTGTGTTTTTTTTGTCCTTATTAGATGTATATGTGTCTGTACAATGCTGTCGTTCTTCCCACTTGCATGACTAAGGTATAAGGATCCATACCGAAATGTTGCATCATAATAGAATAAAGAAGTTGGCATCCATAAAATATCTAAAAATTACTGTAACTGTTTTTGTTGTTTTGTTGTTTTTGTTTGTGTGGAAGACTGTAATGCGTATACCAGCATAATCCATAATAACTCCCACTTTTTTACTTTATTACTTTTCGTTCACATTATTATGAAGTAGGATTGTTTTGAACATGCAATCCATTCATTCATTGTATGCTTAGTCATGTTGGGGTCAAGGCCACTTAGTTATCACCCAGGAGGCCAGCTGCTATTGACCCAGATCCCTGACTCCATGGGTCAGTCACTGTGACATTCATGAGTGCAGTTTAGCCTCATAAATCACATATTCAAACAGTCTGCGTTTAATATCGGGGGAATTGTAGATTTTTTATTTGGCATAAAGTTTGTGTTGTTTGGCTTAGAGGGAAAATTAATGCTTATTCTGTTTGAAGTACAGTACAAGCTATTTAATATTTTACAATATAAGGTAGCAACATGATAAATCGCAAAGAACAATAAAGAACGAAGCATGGTTTATTTCATGATAAAACATTTTATCATATAATGGTTGGGTTTCTCGGCAGGATATAGCCAACAGATAAAAATGATATCTGTTGGGGACATAGCGGATAGAGATGCAAATATCAAAGGTCAAGTAGGGACTACTTTCACTGTTTATAAACAAACATGGCATAGCCCTTGTCATTCGTCCATCGAGTCAGAATTAACCATCGGGAGTCTTGAGAAACTACTGGGATAATTGCTATCATTATCAAAAGAACAGTCTAATATACTGAAAATCAGTGTCTAACTGTGACGTAGCTAAGGCATTTTACAAGTTTTGGCAACTTTAAGAGATATGAATTGCGAAATCATTTAGTGAGGACACAAGCCAAGCGGGATGACTTTCCATATCTGTGCTTGTAGACCTCTGCGGCTTGGAACCTTTTCCACAAATTAAAACAGTTGGATTTAGCCGAAATATGTTTGAATTGTTACCTTGTTTCATTTTATCGCTGTGTGTACATCTGACTGCACATCATAACGTTATGACAGGACAGACTGTCAACAACATCTGACTGTGTCCGTGACGTTTCGTAGACTAGGGTTAGAGTAGTTTCCCTTTGATAAAGGGCAGTTACTCTATCAGACAGGACAGACCGATGGATTGCTGCGAAAGGCAAGTAAAACAGTTTGTGTAGGCAATTGTTGTTTTGCATATATGTAGTTACGCCTCTGTATAAGAAACAGGACTCTGTTGGAAATATATTGGCTACTGTCACCCATGTTTAGGTAATGTTTGTGAGAGATGGAAAGCGATTTTTGAGCACAGAATTGAAGAATGACATTATATGATAAGGAGGTTATCATGCTTGTGTGTTTGGGGATGGTAAATACACATGATTGACATACTTTCATTTTGAAATACACCTGTGATCATGGTCATAAAACAGCCTCTACTCATTTGATTATCAATACACACTGCTTACTGTAAATTTGACATCTCTCCTAATTACACTCTATTAACATCATTAACTTAATCATGAGGTGTGTTTTCAGAAAAGGTTTTACTGCTAACTTTAGTTATGCGAGTCATGCTGACAGGGCAGATTGTCAAAGGTCATGAACCCAGAATGGATCTGATACTGAACCAGGTGTCAGATTTCATGTACTCTACACAATCTACAGAGCTCTAGCCTGAAGTAGGTCAGACTTGACCTGATAAAACGGCACTATTGACCAGGGCCTCGTTCCACAAAGTGATCTTAACGCTACCACTATCACTATCATAAACCTATGTCAAAGGATGGAGTTATGATCTTCTTAGTGCTAAGATCGCTTTGTGGAACGGGGCTTTGAATAAAATGTTCAGACGGAATCAACATTTAGCTTCTCTTTTTGTGTGATGTTTTTCACTTGGACCATGCTTTAGATTCTCTTAAAATTATTAGGCATCAATGTTTCTTTCATTGATCACAAGTAGCGATTTTTAAGTAAAAGTTTTCAAAATGTCATGTTTCATCAGAAGTTAAATTTCATATTCTCAAGAGAATAAACACTCGCCAGGTTGCAGATCGAACAATACGGCATCATTTAGGCCGTTGTCTGAACTTCCATTGAGGTGCCAATATCAGTCATTGCTATATTGATTTAATATATTGTGTGCTTGGACAGGTAACTCGGGTACCCGGGTAGGGTGGGTACTGAGGAGGACCCGGGTACCCACAGGACTACCCGGACCCGTGGTTAGTCATGTGATATATTGTTTAATGTCAAAAATTATCTAGAACTCTATGGTAACACTACAAGTCACTCATGTTCGCATTTCTTTCTGACTGTGCACCCATTCCTTCTGATTTTTCATATGGTTAAATAAAGATATAACTTATTCAACTTCAGTTTATGAATGACCAGATTGTGTTATACTTGTATCTAAAAACGATTTGTCAGGGCTGTGCTAAAGATGTTCCCAATCGGACATTTTGAGGCATCCCCTGAGACCTACAGTGGGTACCCGGGTAGAAAATTTGGACTCGTCCCAGCCCTATTGTGTGCACAATCTTTATTGAGGTGATTATGTGCGATTAAGTTGATGATTTCATAAAAAGTCTAACCAAATAAGGAAGTCATTTGTTATCCTAACCAAAAAAGGAAGTCATAGGTTATCGCATGTTATCAAAACTGTTTCAGACAAAAGGCTGGTCCGGAGCCTGAGTACGACAAGATCACGACCGGGTTCAGGGTCTACAACCACGAGGCTCCCTTCAAGTTGAAGTACGATGGAGGCATCCTGCCGCACCTCCAAGTGGCGTTCGAGACGTGGGGAGAGCTGAACAAGGAGAAAAACAATGCTGTGCTCATCTCTGCTGGGCTCTCCGCCAGCTCCCACGCCAAGAGCCACAAGGTATGTGATGAGGTGCCTGATTACTTGAAGCCACATGGCCCTGATATTTGAAGTATGTGATGAAGTGCCTGATGACTTGAAGCCACATGGCCCTGATATATGAAGTATGTGATGAGGTGCCTGATTACTTGAAGCCACATGGCCCTGATATATGAAGTATGTGATGAGGTGCCTGATTACTTGAAGCCACATGGCCCTGATATATGAAGTATGTGATGAGGGCCCTGATATATGAAGTATGTGATGAGGTGCCTGATTACTTGAAGCAACATGGCCCTGATATAATAAGTATGTGATGAAGTGCCTGATTACTTGAAGCCACATGGCCCTGTTATATATGAAGTATGTGATGAGGTGCCTGATTACTTGAAGCCACATGGCCAGGGGTCCGGAAAATTTAAAATCCCAATCGGACGTTTGCATTTAGGCCACGCCCCCTTCAAATAGCGTATTTTAGTACGACTTTCACACATTACAAGTTTACGTATTCATAATATGATGAATTATGAATTATTTCAATTTAAATTGTTTAATTCACCGGACAATTAATAACAAATAATATCATTTTAGATTTACATGGAAAACATACGTTTGTTTCTGTTATAATAACGATCTGTTAACGTAGTGAACGGTCTAAACAAACAAAGCTTGTCAGTGTAGTTAATCTTCATTGTGTTGCAACTGCAGACAGAAACTGCTCAGTCCTAACTGTTGATCATGTCTGGTCAAAATTTAAGAATGTCCGGACAATACTTTTTAAAATGTCCGGTAAGCAATATTTTAAAACGGACATTTGAGATTCCCAATCGGACATGTCCGGCGCATATGACGGTTTCCGGACCCCTGCACATGGCCCTGATATATGAAGTATGTGATGAGGGCCCTGATATATGAAGTATGTGATGAGGTGCCTGATTACTTGAAGCCACATGGCCCTCTGTGATCTAGCTGACCTACTGTATATGTTTCAGACACTCTGTGATCTAGCAAACCTTGTGTGTATGTTTCAGACATCTGTGATCTAGCTGACCTCCTGTGTATGTTTCAGACATCCGTGATCTAGCTGACCTCCTGTGTATGTTTCAGACACTGTGATCTAGCTGACCTCCTGTGTATGTTTCAGACACTCGGTGATCTAGCTGACCTCCTGTGTATGTTTCAGACACTGTGATCTAGCTGACCTTGTGTATATGTTTCAGACACTCCGTGATCTAGCTGACCTACTGTGTATGTTTCAGACACTGTGATCTAGCTGACCTTGTGTGTATGTTTCAGACGGTCCGTGATCTAGCTGACCTCCTGTGTATGTTTCAGACACTCGGTGATCTAGCTGACCTTGTGTGTGTGTTTCAGACACTCTGTTTCAGACATCTGTGATCTAGCTGGCCTCATGTGTATGTTTCAGACACTCTGTGATCTAGCCGACCTTGTGTGTATGTTTCAGGACAATGTCCGACCGGGATGGTGGGAGAAGTTTGTTGGGCCTGGATGTGCTGTGGACACTGACAAGTTTTTCGTCATCTGCACCAACAACCTTGGAGGCTGCTATGGCACATCGTGAGTAGCTCTCTGCTGAGCTTGCATCTGTAGAAATGATATCTCAATTCCCGTTGTTCTTGCGATCTCAAATTACCCACCCTTGATTTTTATTACCATTTTCTCAACCAATCAAACTTAGGTAAGGAAAATGAAATGGGTAAGGGAGGTAACTTGTATCGAGAAACAAAGCCACCGCCAGTTTTAATGGACACGAAGACCTCCTTTCCATCAAAAAGATTTTTTAGGGCTTTCTTTTGAATTTCAGTCATTTTTCAGTGTTGAATTTCTCACAAACTCTATCGTAATCAATGGGACTGACCGTCATGTTGTTGATATCACCAACCCACCATGGTTTGTAACATGCATTCTGATTGGTCCATTAGACTATGTAGTGTAGCAAATCAAAAGAGCCATTGAAATCAAGGGCAGGTAATTTGCGAGAACCTCGGAAATGAATCAAGAGGTTGGTGTAGGTTCACCGAAATGCGAGCCCTGGACACCAAGGATGTCTGCTGAGTTTGCGTCCTCTTCATTATGGATCCTAATCAGGATCATCCTTTGAATGCCGAAGTTGTTCTGGATATCCCCTTGTAATAACCAACTAAAACAGAAGCTTGTATTGTTGTAGTCTGTCTTACAGACCCTGATACAAATATATATCAAATACAGCCGATGCAAGTCTATAATGTTTGGCAAGTCTAGATCTGAAAATGAAGAGAGTCACTGGGCTCCTTTTTATTATATTTTTATTAAGATAACTGAACAACTGTTTTTTTATGTACGATATGTTCATTTCAGAGACTAGATTTTAGTCTAGTATTGTTGATGAGATGAACATATCCAATTAACTGTTGAATACTGTAAATCATGGAATTAATGCGTCTCCAAAAGAATGTGACCACTAGCCCCTAGCCAATAATGCAAGGCAATATGAATGCGACACCTCCCTCCTCTCAAGCATCAGTGGATTTATATCAAAAGAAAATGTCCTCTGTCAGGTTTACAGGAGAATCCTCACCCTCATCCAACCTTACATTAATCCAATCACAGCACCGCTCATTAGCGCTGATTAGAGTACTTCCATTAAAACAATACGTGCACGCTGGCTCATGTCGGCCTTTGACGCAGTCGCAAAGAACAAAGACACCGTGTTTTGTGGGTGGCGTCTGTCTGGAGTTGCAGGTGTGATCACTGATGACCTAAGTGTGTAAAACTCTTGTCTTGACCCCAGCAGTGACAATTCACAGGATGTCATTGTGTTTGAATGACATTGTTTATGTACTTGTTACAAGTGCTGCTCAATAAACAGTGGTGTGGAATACATAGTTGTTTCTTTTCAGCGTATGTCTGAGTTGGTATTTCTGCTATCCAAAATGTCTTATTGTTGATATAAATGCGATGTTTAATAATGCGAGCAAAGACCACTTGCAATTTTCGCATTTAATTCACGCTCGCGTTAATTTCAAGATTTACAGTATGCAGGGACTTCTTTCAAGTTGGGCTGGGACGATACACTAACTGTGCGATCTGATATGTATCACGATACCTTGTTCACGATCGGACAGTATCGCGATACTTGCATGTGCTCTTATCTGTGGTCCGTAAGCCATCTTTTTCATAGACAGAATGGCCAAATACCTGGCACACTGACGATTTACAGTTGGCAGTGTCGAGTATGGCGCAATAGATGAAATATTACATTTTCACTTGGTGTATAGTGTAACTGTTATTACCGTAAACATTTAAAGTATGTATCAATATTTTTGACTGACTACTCATGTTTTCATTTACCAAATTTGTAAACGGCAAAACAAGCACAAAACCTCTTATAGTGCAATGACGTAACACGAGATGCGCAGTACAGCAGTGCACAAGGGAAGTAACTGCACGCTATATAGGATTGCTTTGTTTTTAAGTATTGTAGCATTTCACTGCAGGGGTTGTGTGTTCGAGACACGGAGTATTTAAGGATATTTGGGGGTTTTTTCAAATGGAAATCTAAACGAAATGTGCGGCGGACGTTATGATGATGCGGGCAGTGCCTGAGAACTATGCTATATTTTTTTAGCCTTAGTGTGCCACTGTGATCGACACTTGTATTGAGAAGTAAAAAATTACGATGCATCGGTGTATCGTTCCACCCCTACTTTCAAGTTCCATACATCGATGCAATGATTTCTTTCTCTATAAACTGTTGACTGATGTTTTAAATATGCTGTGACTGGAGTTTCCCAATGTGTCTCCAATTTTCAGTTGACAAACATGGCTGCAAGTTGTGTTGCACTTATCATGCTTATTGATAAGTTAGGCAGTATACATTGTATTTATGCATGGTTTCTACAGAGCGATATTAGTGCTATGCGCTAAGGTTAACTTACTCCCATACTTTACCATAGACTTAAGATCATCATAGCGCTCAGATCGCTTTGCGGATGGAACGCTTGTTTACATTCACCATCTCTTTGCAGGGGCCCATCATCAGTTAATCCTGTGACAGGAAAGGTAAGTGATCTAGGGTCAAGTCTTCCTAAGGGGCTAAGGCAATCTTATGAAAATCAGATCCAAGTTCTCGCTGCCGCTAATCAAAGATCTCAGGACATCCCATTACGGTTCATGTCAGAATGATCTTTCGCGAACTTTGACCGACCACTGAAATGACTAACAAGAAGTCAACATCAGCCAATTAGAAAGCAGCTTTCTCAAGCTTCAAGGCACTTGTTTCACCCTGGCTATTTCCATTTCAGACTACGCTTGAAAAATGTGTTGACACAGTTCTTGATGAAAATTTTGAAAACTGAACAAACGAAACATACCAGCATGTCTAAATTATGGTTGCGATTGTATGGCAGTACTTCCTACTGTGCAATGCCTCCTCCGTTCAAATGTTTATCCCACTGAAACTGTCGTTCAGAATACCCCGTGTTAACGTTTTTGAGGTTGCATGATTAGAAAACACATTCCGACTGTCACTTTCATGATCTGGTAAGCAACACTTTGATTGGTCGGATGAAAGGTGACCCGTAATGGGATGTCCTCAGATCTTTGTTTAGCAATAGCGAGAACTAACACTGACTGAGATCTGATTTTAATGAGATGGGGTCTAAGGCCATCTCATGCTAAATCTTGCAGAGTAAAACATTTGCAATTTGACATGTTTGGAAAACGACATAAATTTAGTCCTTCTCATCACATGTAATATTTTGGGAAGTAGTGCACTTTACCATGCAAACTTTTTCAGATTTCAATTAGCGGTGCATGGAGGATCAACCTCACGTTGCCAGTTTGAAACTGTGCTATGGTAATGAGTTGGTCTAATTAGCCAACACCCTACCATTGGACCATGAGCGCTACGAAATTACACAATCGCAAATTATGAGTCATCGTTAAGTGATCAGCACCTGACTCTTGACCTCTTAATGTGCATGCGCAGTATGCACATTTTCTGTGTGCAACTCAAAATTTGATAAAAGAGATTCAGATTTTCCTTATGTTACATTAGATTAAATCATTAAAAGAGATAGCTGACCGGTACCCTGCCTTACAACTAACCAAAGAGGTGCCTAACCCTAAGGATCGTAAAGGGGTGTTTGTTTGGCAAGTGGTCCCCAACCCTAGGGATTGCGAAGGTGTTGGATCAGAAAGGGGTACCTCACCCTTATGATGGCCAAGCGATACTTGGTCAGAAAGATCCAAGGATCATTTTGGGTAGAGTTGGGGGTTTGGTTTGAAGAGGCATCAAGGTCTGGGAAACAAGAGTCAGGTAGCACTAAATAAACTGCACCTGGTAAACTGCATTGTTATTATACTTGGTTGGGGCTTGAGATACTTCAGGTGGTGGCAATAAGTGATCCACTGAAACTGGAACATGACTCTCACTGTTGTTTTTGCAGCCTTACGGAACAACATTCCCCATTGTCAGTGTAGAGGATATGGTCAACGCTCAGATGCTTCTCCTTGATCACCTCGGCATCCAGAAGGTAGGTGGACCATCTCGGCATCCAGATAGAAGGAGAATAAGTGGACCATCTCGGCATCCAGATAGTAGGAGAATAAGTGGACCATCTCGGCATCCAGATAGTAGGAGAATAAGTGGACCATCTCGGCATCCAGAAGGTAAGTTGACCATCTCGGCATCCAGATAGTAGGAGAATAAGTGGACCATCTCAGCATCCAGAAGGTTAGTGGACCATCTTGGCATCCAGATAGTAGGAGAATAAGTGGACCATCTCGGCATCCAGATAGTAGGAGAATAAGTGGACCATCTCGGCATCCAGATAGTAGGAGAATAAGTGGACCATCTCGGCATCCAGATAGTAGGAGAATAAGTGGACCATCTCGGCATCCAGATAGTAGGAGAATAAGTGGACCATCTCGGCATCCAGAAGGTAAGTGGACCATCTCGGCATCCAGATAGTAGGAGAATAAGTGGACCATCTCAGCATCCAGAAGGTTAGTGGACCATCTCGGCATCCAGATAGTAGGAGAATAAGTGGACCATCTCGGCATCCAGATAGTAGGAGAATAAGTGGACCATCTCGGCATCCAGATAGTAGGAGAATAAGTGGACCATCTCGGCATCCAGAAGGTAAGTGGACCATCTCGGCATCCAGATAGTAGGAGAATAAGTGGACCATCTCGGCATCCAGATAGTAGGAGAATAAGTGGACCATCTCGGCATCCAGATAGTAGGAGAATAAGTGGACCATCTCGGCATCCAGAAGGTAAGTGGACCATCTCGGCATCCAGATAGTAGGAGAATAAGTGGACCATCTCAGCATCCAGAAGGTTAGTGGACCATCTCGGCATCCAGATAGTAGGAGAATAAGTGGACCATCTCGGCATCCAGATAGTAGGAGAATAAGTGGACCATCTCGGCATCCAGATAGTAGGAGAATAAGTGGACCATCTCGGCATCCAGATAGTAGGAGAATAAGTGGACCATCTCGGCATCCAGATAGTAGGAGAATAAGTGGACCATCTCGGCATCCAGAAGGTAAGTGGACCATCTCGGCATCCAGATAGTAGGAGAATAAGTGGACCATCTCAGCATCCAGAAGGTTAGTGGACCATCTCGGCATCCAGATAGTAGGAGAATAAGTGGACCATCTCGGCATCCAGATAGTAGGAGAATAAGTGGACCATCTCGGCATCCAGATAGTAGGAGAATAAGTGGACCATCTCGGCATCCAGAAGGTAAGTGGACCATCTCGGCATCCAGATAGTAGGAGAATAAGTGGACCATCTCGGCATCCAGATAGTAGGAGAAAAAGTGGACCATCTCGGCATCCAGATAGTAGGAGAATAAGTGGACCATCTCAGCATCCAGAAGGTAAGTGGACCATCTCGGCATCCAGATAGTAGGAGAATAAGTGGACCATCTCGGCATCCAGAAGGTTAGTGGACCATCTCGGCATCCAGATAGTAGGAGAATAAGTGGACCATCTCGGCATCCAGATAGTAGGAGAATAAGTGGACCATCTCGGCATCCAGATAGTAGGAGAATAAGTGGACCATCTCGGCATCCAGATAGTAGGAGAATAAGTGGACCATCTCGGCATCCAGAAGGTAAGTGGACCATCTCGGCATCCAGATAGTAGGAGAATAAGTGGACCATCTCAGCATCCAGAAGGTTAGTGGACCATCTCGGCATCCAGATAGTAGGAGAAGAAGTGGACCATCTCGGCATCCAGATAGTAGGAGAATAAGTTGACCATCTCGGCATCCAGATAGTAGGAGAATAAGTGGACCATCTCGGCATCCAGAAGGTAAGTGGACCATCTCGGCATCCAGATAGTAGGAGAATAAGTGGACAATCTCGGCATCCAGAAGGTAAGTGGACCATCTCGGCATCCAGATAGTAGGAGAATAAGTGGACCATCTCGGCATCCAGATAGTAGGAGAATAAGTGGACCATCTCGGCATCCAGATAGTAGGAGAATAAGTGGACCATCTCGGCATCCAGAAGGTAAGTGGACCATCTCGGCATCCAGATAGTAGGAGAATAAGTGGACCATCTCGGCATCCAGATAGTAGGAGAATAAGTGGACCATCTCGGCATCCAGATAGTAGGAGAATAAGTGGACCATCTCGGCATCCAGATAGTAGGAGAATAAGTGGACCATCTCGACATCCAGATAGTAGGAGAATAAGTGGACCATCTCGGCATCCAGATAGTAGGAGAATAAGTGGACCATCTCGGCATCCAGATAGTAGGAGAATAAGTGGACCATCTTGGCATCCAGAAGGTAAGTGGACCATCTCGGCATCCAGATAGTAGGAGAATAAGTGGACCATCTTGGCATCCAGAAGGTAAGTGGACCATCTCGGCATCCAGATAGTAGGAGAATAAGTGGACCATCTTGGCATCCAGAAGGTAAGTGGACCATCTCGGCATCCAGATAGTAGGAGAATAAGTCGACCATCTTGGCATCCAGAAGGTAAGTGGACCATCTCGGCATCCAGATAGTAGGAGAATAAGTCGACCATCTTGGCATCCAGAAGGTAAGTGGATCATCTTGGCATCCAGATAGTAGGAGAATAAGTGGACCATCTTGGCATCCAGAAGGTAAGTGAACCATCTCCGCATCCAGAGAATAAGTCGACCATCTCAGCGTCCAGAAGGTAAGTGGACCATCTCGGCATCCAGATAGTAGGAGAATAAGTGGACCATCTCAGCATCCAGAAAGTTAGTGGACCATCTCGGCATCCAGATAGTAGGAGAATAAGTCGACCATCTCGGCATCCAGAAGATAAGTGGACCATCTCAGCGTCCAGATAGTAGGAAAATAAGTCGACCATCTCAGCTTCCAGAGAATAAGTTGACCAGCAGAAATCAAATAAAGTTGTTCTTGGTATCTGGGCATGAGGTAATCAAACAATAATCTCATTGTACAGGTTCAAATCTCATTCAGTGTAATTGGAGATGGACTTAAGCACAAAATCACATCTTTCCTGATTTCGATTTTCTGAAAATGAATTTTCATTGTGTTTCAGTATATTTAGGTTGTTTTAGACAGTATAAGCATCAGTTTCCCTCCTGTGACCAATGCCCCCTCCTCACCCCGGTTTAAATTACCTGGATGCTTTTTTCCCCTGTCACGAAGTTGGGCGGGGATATAGGAACAGAGTCCAGCAGTCCATCTGTCTGCTTCTCAAACGAGACAAATTTTCTCAAGAACTATTTTTATTTTACGCACTGATATTACTGGTCATGATCTTAAATGAGTTCGAAATTTGGTGTCTTAAATTCATTTATTACAGAGTTAACAAACAAATGAACAAACAAAATTCTAATGTGCCCCATGGTGGGGGAAAGTGATAATGCTGTTTTTCTTGGTGACTTATGTTTCGCCTCTTTTCTTCAGCTACATGCGTCTGTGGGTTCCTCCCTCGGTGGGATGTGCTCTGTCCTCAATACTGTCCTGTATCCTGAGAGAGTCGGAAGGTCAGTATGATCTAGCAAGATTCATCGTCAGTATGGTCGTATCCACTGTTTCCCCATCACCCATGACTACAAACAGATGCAGTTAGTCACTATTTTTATCCAACTAATGAAACCCTTCCAAGAGGGAGATATCAATTGCTCAGATTACTTTGTGGAAACGACAGTATTGTGGCTCAACCTGGAGGCTATCTATACCTCAATATGAGGCAGTGGTAGAGACATCCAATTAATGCATTGATTTAGGCTCATCTGACCTCTGTGAGTTATGAACTATTTACATAGACTTGTCGTGATGACTGACCACATGTTTTATAGGGGTCTTTTTTTAAATTTGGGAGTCATAATTTTCCCAGCCATGTTCCCTGTCAAGTACTCTGTGACTGCAGTAGTAAAGCAGTTGACAGAAATACTCGCAGCTGATTGGCTGGTGTGTAGTCATGCCAGTTATTCATTGCGATATCAATATATAAATTGACCAGCGGAGTAGCGTTTTGTATTTTAAAAAAGAAGATATAGTGTAAATACTCTGTCTGAATTTTTTATTTCCTCAGCAGATTTATTGCATCAGTTATGACCTGCATGAAAAACTTTTGCGAGTATTTCAGGAAATTATTGCGTCAATTATGCAGGAATTACGCGTCATGTCAGACCATTTATCATACCTCCATGTCAGATGGATGAGATATGATTGGTTCACATGATCTTGAACAAATATTATGTATCCCGCCTGCAAAGGAAATAAGTTTGAGTGGAGAATAAATCTCTTATACCCCACCATGAAGAAGACATACTCGTGTGGATATCTGTGAAGCAGAAAGATTCCTTATACCCCACTTCAATGCAAAAAGCAGCATGCCCTTTCCAAGTCAATGAATGCCACGTGACGTATTTATAAGTTAACCTCAGCTCAGTCGAACAGCTGATTTCTATCAATTTTGAATTTGTTTTAATTTTTTTACAAAGTCACTTTAAAATATGTCAGTAGGATAACTTCGTTGTAGCAGTATCATTCAGGCTACATGGGGTTTTATGTGTCCCTCATTAGGAGATCCGGGGTAGAATAGGTTTTCAGCAACCCATGCTTGCCATAAAAGGCGAATATGCTTGCCGTAAAAGGCGAATATGCTTGTCGTAATAGGCAAATAACAGGATCGGGTGGTCAGGCTCGCTGACTTGGTTGATGCATGTCATCGTATCCCAATTGCTAATGATATCAATCACTGGATTGTCTCGAACAGACTACTATTTAAAGACAACCGTTATATAGCTGGCATAGTGCTGAGTGCGGTGATAAACACACAAACAAACAAACAGTCAGTCAGAATCTTTGAGAGCCATGTTTGTTTGTTTGTTGATCAGGTTAATTTCCATATCGTCCTGTGCTCAGTCCCACCCGTCGGCCATCGCACTCCGCTACCTCCAGCGTAAGTGCATCATGAGTGACCACCACTGGAACAAGGGCCACTACTATGATGCAGAATTCCCCATGATCGGCATGAAATTGGCCAGGTGAGCTATGCACGAGTGAGCCGGTGCCAGCTGGTTGAGTGTTCAAATAATCATTTGTGTTTGTCTCACAAGGCTAAAAAAAATAATAATCTTGGTTTCCTGGCTCCGCCCGCATCATCATAAAGTCTTGTACCTTTCATTTATGTTTCTTTTTCCAAAGAAAAATAACATAATCCTAATACTCAACAATGTGATGCAATATAGCAGTTACTTCCCTTTACATGTGCACTGCTTTACTGTGCATCTCATGACGCAGTTATATTTTTTAATTAACTAGTTTTTATAAATTTGAACATTATTTAGGGACTGGTAATTTATTATAGGGGGTTGCACATTAAAATTGTTATATGTATTGTTTGTGGGGGTTGGGATGGGGGAAGAAAAAACGTTACATAAAATGGGGGAGGGGGTGATCAAAGTATGAAACAGTCTTAAGACATCCAATAGATGGGTTTTCCAGTTAACCTTGTTTTTCAGATTGCAGCCATATTCCCATTCATTTAACAATATGATCTGAACATGGAATTAGCTTATCCACTCATACAAGATCGTCCGTTGTCTTGTGGATTGTGGATAGAGCATCTGCAAGATCGGGGCTTCAATCTCCGGCCACGTCATACCAAAAGACTGCCGACTCCCATTCCAGACACCGCCTCTGTGGTCTAGCGGTAGAGTGTCTGCCCAGAGGGTGGATGGTTGGGGGTTCGATCTTCAGCCATGTCATACCAAAAGACGTTAAAAGATGGTACTTGTTGTTACCCTGCCTTGTGCTCAGCATTAAGGGGATAAGACAAGGACTGATTGGCTCAGTCAGTATACTGTGTCTAAGTGGGGTATTCATGTTAAACTGCGGCATCTTCGGCCATTTCATACCAAAAGACGTTTAAAAATGGTACTTGTTGTTACCCTGCCTTGTGCTCGGCATTAAGGGGATAAGACAAGGACTGATTGGCTCAGTCAGTATACTGTGTCTAAGTGGGGTATTCATGTTAAACTGCGGCATCTTCGGCCATTTCATACCAAAAGACGTTTAAAAATGGTACTTGTTGTTACCCTGCCTTGTGCTCGGCATTAAGGGGATAAGACAAGGACTGATTGGCTCAGTCAGTATACTGTGTCTAAGTGGGGTATTCATGTTAAACTGCGGCATCTTCGGCCATTTCATACCAAAAGACGTTTAAAAATGGTACTTGTTGTTACCCTGCCTTGTGCTCGGCATTAAGGGGATAAGACAAGGACTGATTGGCTCAGTCAGTATACTGTGTCTAAGTGGGGTATTCATGTTAAACTGCGGCATCTTCGGCCATTTCATACCAAAAGACGTTTAAAAATGGTACTTGTTGTTACCCTGCCTTGTGCTCGGCATTAAGGGGATAAGACAAGGACTGATTGGCTCAGTCAGTATACTGTGTCTAAGTGGGGTATTCATGTTAAACTGCGGCATCTTCGGCCATTTCATACCAAAAGACGTTTAAAAATGGTACTTGTTGTTACCCTGCCTTGTGCTCGGCATTAAGGGGATAAGACAAGGACTGATTGGCTCAGTCAGTATACTGTGTCTAAGTGGGGTATTCATGTTAAACTGCGGCATCTTCGGCCATTTCATACCAAAAGACGTTTAAAAATGGTACTTGTTGTTACCCTGCCTTGTGCTCGGCATTAAGGGGATAAGACAAGGACTGATTGGCTCAGTCAGTATACTGTGTCTGAGTGGGGTATTCATGTTAAACTGCAGCATGGTATCTCAGTGGGCTAGCACTATAAAACTGGCATTAGTCCACACGAGTACAAACACGCACGCACGAATCGCTTTGTCAGTGCATTAATCTTCAACAATAGGTCGAACCCTTTTCACCTAACCTCACCACTCAAGCAGTTGAAGTTCTGATGCCGTAACATGATATTTTCATATGGCTGTTCAATTAATAGGAACAGTTTCATGGTGTGTTATTAACTGAATTGTTTTCCCAGGGAAATCGCCACCCTCACCTATCGCAGTGGCCCAGAGTGGAATGAGAGGTTTGGGCGTAGTCGCATCAGCGACATTGACCCCCCCTCGCTGTGTCCGACATTCCATATAGAGAACTACTTGGAGCACCAGGGAGAGAGCTTCAGCACCAAGTTTGACCCCAATTCTCTCCTGTATATCTCAAAGGTAGGTGTAGTGTGCTATATTAAGAAACGCTCTTGTTCGTTTAAGGTTCATACTTGTTCTATATCTCTGCTTGTGAAAAGTACTATGTCTTACAAGCCAGCTAGAGTGATTGCCCCTGGATTGGATGTAACCAAGCTCCTTCCCAGCGTGTGACACCTTCGTTACACTCTCTGTAACATCGTTGCCACCAGTGTGGGCACGGCCATTACAAGAATCTTGAAATTTGCCCTCAAACCCCAAATGTAGTAACGTTTATACTTTTGTTTATGTCTTTGGGAATGCCATACAGTTGTTTTTGGAAAGGTTTACGACTAACCATATTTCCCGGATGAATTTACTTTGTTGTTTGTATAATCAGATTGCTTCGAGATTGCGGACTAACGGAAATTCGCTCAAATTTCCCCTTACATTCTTACTATACCAATTACATGATAGTTGAAATGAAATAGAAATTCAAATTGACAAACAAGGAATATGATTTGGTTAGGGTAAGAGTATTAGGCGTCATGGCAGTCATCGCTTGTTTGTTAGCATAACAGTCTGTCGGTTGGGATGTCCACATGGCATCTCAAGTAAACATGTACTGAAAACTGAGTTGTTCATCATCATCCATCACAGCAGGTACATTGTTGGTGAAACAAGCTCAGCCGCTTTAGGAGATAAACGTTGGCAACAGTACGTACCGTTATACATCTAGTGAATTCTTTAATAGAGAGTATGTGTGTGTTTCCTATGGTATTCCTGGTACATTGCTGGAATCAACAACCAAAGACATTAGACTTGACTGTCGGGTTTGTTGTTTAACGCTGCACTTAGCAATATTCCAGATATATAACGGCGGTCTGTTGGTTTGGTTGGTTGGTTTGTTGTTTAACGCCACACTTAGCAATATTCCAGCTATATGACAGCAGTCTGTAAATAATCGAGTCTGGACCAGTCAATCCAGAGATCCACATTTCTTGTGTCGCCCGCCGTGATATTGCTGGAATATTGCTAAAAGCGGCGTAAAACCATATTCACTCACTCACTCACTCTATGTGATTTATCTTGTAGGTGTCTGCAATTAATTATATTCTGCAATTAAACACACATCAAATCACAAATGTCTGTTTGTTTCAGGCAATGGATCTGTTTGATGTGGCTGAAGGTTTCAGCTCACTAGAGGAGGGGCTATCACAGGTGACCTGTCCAGCGATGATCATCGGCGTTCAGACGGACATCTTGTTCCCCATATGGCAACAACGCAAACTGGCTCAGGTGTTGCAGGATGCAGGTAGGCATCTTCCCGAGGCAAGGGAGTTAACTGACTACAAAAGTCCAGTTTCCACCCTTGCCGAACTAGGCTGGTATTATGGAGTTACAGTTTGGCCGGACTAACGAGTCTATGCATAGTCCAATCAAAATCGCACAACGGAATCAAAATCCGGTTCGTGAACTGTAATGCAAATTGTCAACAGATATTTTCCAAATCTTTTCATGATTTAATCAAGATGCTCGCGTGATTTCATGCACTTTGTGATGTAAGACCCGTTTGATCACAATATAGATCTTGATTATCGATCAGATCGTCTTGACTGGGCGCCGCCATTTTGTTTTTTGAGCAAATGAGAGGTGGAATCTGATTGGTCCATAGCACAGGCTTAGAAGGGGCATAACTCATAATAACCACTGGTGGCCCTACAACTGAGCCCAGGAATTCCAGCCTAGTTTGGCAAGGGTGGAAACTGGACTTTTATAGTCAGTTAACTCCCTTGCCTCGGGAAGATGACAGGTCGGATGGAGAGGCAGCTACATCAGCATCCCTGTACTGGGTGTACCATAGTCTTACACATGGCTCACATTACTACTGTAGTCGCCGTAATAAGCACCCGGGTGTTTAGAACATAGACAAAGGAGTGCGCTTATTAAAACCATATACAGGTACAATGTTGTTGTTAGAGGTCAAGAGGTAGAAAACAGACATACCTCAAACGTCCATTAAAATGGATATTTTTTCGATACTAGTTACATCTTCTTCACTGCTGTATTTTCTGTAGAAAGATCTTTTGGATGCATAAGAAAAGATGGATCGTCAGGTAAATTTTGGGGCTAAGTACCATGTGCTGATGAAGATTACTTGCAGACTGGTCTAGAAATTGGTCAGGCAGAGCTTTCGGAGCGGGACGCTTAATACGGTAAATGTGGTATGTCAAGACCTTGCCTGAATGGGCTTCAGACAGTGGAGAATAGTTTCTCTTAGAGATGTGATGGGTATGTGAGTACCCAAGCATGGGTCGGTCCATCTTCAAGAACTCCTGTAGATGGCCAGGGGAGATAACTCACATCTTCACTTCTCAAACAAGCAGGTTTCAGAAACAGTGTCTGGACTTTGATGATTCTTAGAAAACAAAAACTGATTTTGTTGATGTGGTATATGTCTGTTAAAATCAGATACTTGAGAACAGGTCAGGTTTCGAGACACATGTTTGCAAGTTTTTTAGTCCTGCCCATCATTGTCCTAGTCCTTGAATTAAGTGTTGTACCATTTTAATGTTGGCACTATGTTTATTATCCCCCGCCCGGAAGGGGAAGGGGGATATAGAAATGGGTGCTGTCTGTCCGTCCGTTTGTTTGTCAGTCACATTTCGTTTCTGGAGCAGAACTCAAAAACCATGAGAGATATCTCCACCAAAGTTGGCACATAGATAGGTCTAGTGGTGATTTGGTGCCATTTGATAGTTTGGGATTTTTGACAAATTTCCTTTTTGAGTTTCCATGGCAACGACTTTGACTTAGACTGATAATGGTGGTAGTGCTTGTTCTGGAGAAGATCTTGTAAACCATACGATATTTCTTCTCCAAACTTGGCACATAGATGGGTTTAGTGGTAGACTGGTGCCTTTTGATATTTGGGGATTTTAAAAAAAATTATTTTTCGTGTTTCCAAAGCAATTTTACGACTTTGACTAAGACTAAAAATGGTGGTAGTGCTCGTTTCTGGAGCAGATCTGGTAAACCTGATTGTTATTGTTATTTCCAGGTAACGACTCAGTGACCTTCTATGAACTCAACTCCATGTATGGCCATGACACATTCCTCCTGGATCTGAATGGCGTGGGCACTGCAGTGAAGGTAGGCAGAGTGGAGCAGGTTTAGGGCCTGTTCAACAACGCAATCACTACTACTAGCGGAAGAGGGTAGAATACATCCCCCTTAACCCATGCTGGTCTTACGAACTGACCACACCCTCCTCCCATTGTGGTAAACCTACACTATTTCCTGGATCCAGTCCCGTGGTTCACACGGTCGGGAATTACCCGCCCTTGAATTTCATGTACATTTTACCGACCAATCAAACGTCGCGATAAGGAAAAAGGAATGGTTAAAGGAAGACTTGTTTTAATGGACATGAAGATGTACTTCCTATCAAACAGATTTTTCGAGGGCTTTCTTTTGCATGATTGGGTTTTTTTCAATGTTGATTTCTTGCAAACTCTATAATGGGATTAGCCGCTTTGTTGTCGATATCGCCAACTCAACATGGAGGCTGATTAGTAACTCTGATTGGTCCGTTAGACTGAGTAGCGTAGCAAATCGAATTGGCTCAAAAAATCAAGGGCAGTTATTTTGAGATTGCGAGAACCACGGTAACGGATACAGGTGTTGTGTAGATATAGAGGTTGTCTGGTGCATATAATTACCTGGACCTGCTTAGAGGCTGATATCCTGATCCAAGTTTGCAGCAATTGTAGTAAAACATTCCAACCTGTGAAGATCCGGGTAGAATAGGTCTTCAGCAACCCATGCTTGCCGTTAAAGGCGACTATGCTTGTCGTAAAAGGCGACTAACAGGAATGGGTGGTCAGGCTCAATCCAGTGATTGACATCATGAGCATCAATCTAGGCAACTGGGATATGATGACATGCATCAACCAAGTCAGAGAGCCTGCCTTACAAGCATAGTCTCCCCTTACGGCAAGCATGGGTTGCTGAAGACCTATTCTCTGCCCGGACCTTCACTGGTTTCGACCAATACAGGGGAAGAGGCTTTCACATTCATTTTTATTTTAATTTTATATTATAGCATCGGATGCAATGTTAAAACATTTTTAAAATTAAGAAAATATGATTTAAAAATTCCAGTTTTCAACAAAATAATATTATTTCCGAATTTTCCTTCCTCACTCACTAACTCACTCCTTGCAGGGCTTCCTGGAGACGGACATGTCCGAGAGGGGAATACTGGCCAAAGAAGTGGTCAAGAGGAAGGCCTCCAAGAAGACCAGTGTCAAGCAAGGTTCCTGAGCCCTGTGAATCAAAGAAATAATAATATTGGTGTCTCTAAATAATGCAATAGAAGGAAAACATACAGTCATATCTGTTATGGTGTACAATGTTTCTGTAGCAGGTTGTGGAGTCATCCCACAGATGACATCCTTACCTTAGCTTGCTGACAGGGTTAACCCTTTTGGTCACGTGGACAGGGCGACCAACCTGTGATCAGAAGGTCCGTTGTTCGAATCCCATCACGGGACTGGGAAATTTTGTGGCCGCTACATTTCCATAAACAATTCAGTATTAAGTTGAGCCTGAGACGAGACTTCCTGTATTATGTCTGCCACAATGTCTTAACTCACCTGTCCAGAAAAGCCCTGAGAGTATATGATCTTCTGTGGCTTCAAGTTCAACGTCATCCCCAGTGCCAGCAGGATAGTCGTCCAGAAAGTTTAAATTTAAATTTTGAAACTGATTTGACCTTTGTGTTTGGACCATGATGATAATACATCTCAAAATACATTTTTTGTCCTGTAAATATCCTCTGAGAAGCCACTTGACCAATGGCTTATACTTGTTTCTCCTACAGTATTTTTCCAGAGAGTATTTCAGTATCAGTGCTGACAGCTTCCTTTGTTATGTGTCTGTCTTTGTTGACATTTTGAACTGGTCACTACATATCCAGGTGAGCTATTTCACAGATTTGAGGTTTGGAGCTGGAGGAGGCTGTCCATAGCTTGAAAACCATGAGTTTTTACATCCAAACTTGGTACATGTTTTTTGTTTTTTGTTTTTTGTTAAACGCAGCACTCAGCAATATTCCAGCTAAATGACGGTAGTCTGTATATAATCAAGTCTGGATCAGACAATCCAGTGATTGACATCATGAGCATCGATCCACGCAATTGGGATCGATGACATGCTTCAACCAAGTCAGCAAGCCTGACCACCCGATCCTGTTAGTCGCCTCTTACGACAAGCATAGTCGCCTGTTACGACAAGCATGGGTTGCTGAAGACCTATTTAATTTACTGCTGTTAAAAATACTGGTAACTGAGCTCTACATTAAAAGTACCGTATGTTTTTCTCCTAATTTAATAGGCCTTTTCACTCTTCATGCATCTTCGACCCGTGAAGATCCGGGATAGAATAGGTCTTCAGCACCCCATGCTTGTCGTAAAAGGCGACTAACTGGATCGGGTGGTCAGGCTCGCTGACTTGGTTGATGCATGTCATGGATCCCAATTGCGAGGAACGATGCTCATGATATCAATCACTGGATTGTCTGGTCCAGACTCGATTATTTACAGACCGCCGTCATATAGCTGGAATATTGCTGAGTGCGGCGTAAAACAACAAACCAACCAACCAACCAACTTTATGCATCTTCACTTGCCAAGCTCTTGCTGAATCGTGATATTTTGTCATTGTTACAGAATTTAAACTACTTATTTCTTTGCAATATCAGTTATTATTGTTTATTTTATATATCAAATTAATAAATATCGGTCAGAGATTATTACAAATACGATGCTAATATGTCCCTTTTTTTTCATGATGTAGTGTAGTAATTATTGTGGAATGTAAAGTTTTCATCAGTTGACCAATTGTAACTGCTTGAAGCTGAGATTCTGACTATTATTAATATTGTTTTCAAGTAACTCCATGTTCCTTGCTACACAAACATTTCTATCTCATCTTTAAGTAGTTGTTGTGAATACAGTTTTGAATTTATGTGATAATCAAGTATTTGTACCCATGTTATGTATATGTTTCATGGTTTTGAAATATTATTGATATCTCTACTTAGTGGCCATATTTTCCATGGTCATACAACAAGACATAGCTGTTGTGGTCACTTGAAACGCCTTCTGGTCAGCCGTGCCTGGTCAGCTTATATACAGTAAATCTTGAAATTAATGTCTCCAAATTAATACGGCTGCTGACCCCTGTCCAAAAATGCGACTCAAAATCAATGCGACTCCCCCCACCCCGTCCCCAGTGGAATGATGCATATCCATACCTTTATCCAATCAAATAGCACCACTTATTAGCATTCGTCACCACTCGCCCCTTTCCGTAACCTGCAAGATTCGCCATTCGGCTTGTCCCGGAATAACACGAGTTGGTCACGAATGCACTTATTAGCGCTGAGTAAAGGACTTCCCTAACAACAATAAACAGTGTTTTCGCTAAACACAACACACAGTTTATATGTTTTTTTTCTGTTGACTGGCATTAAGGAAGTTCAAAGGAAATAAGATAATTGAACCATCAACAGTTCACTGATTGGAGTGGTCAATGATGCCTAGTTTGACACCAGTGGGTAGATCTCTTGACCCCAGCAGTGATAATTCACCCGATGCCTATGTGTAATTCTTTAAATGTCATTGCTATGTACTTGTTGCAGCTGCTGCTCAATAAACCGTGTCTTGGTATATATTCATCTTGGTATTCCGCTATCCAAAGTGTGTGCAGTGAGGCCGTCTTATTGTTGGAGAGATAAATGCGAAATTTCATTTATGCGAACAAAGACCACTCGCATTTTTTGCATTTAATTCACACTTGCGTTAATTTCAAGATTTACAGTATATATATTTTTGTGTGAAAACTGTTAGTCTTTTGGTGGGAAAGTTTTTCTTTTCTTCTCCCACTTCCACAAACTGTTACAATATTTTGATTGTTTGTAGTTAAAGGTTTCAACTTGTTTGCAAAGTTGTTTGTTGTACCCCTAAAAAGAAATCTGAGCACAATCTTTTTACACATCAGAACGACCTTTTGCAAACGAAGGTAAGTGACCTAAGGGCAAGTTTTCCGTAGGGGCTAAGGCAATCTCATTAAAATCAGATCCAAGTTCTCGCTACCTCTAAACAAAGATCTCAGGACATCCCATTACGGGTCATGTCAGAACGACCTTTTGCGAACTTTGACTGACCAATGAAATGGCTAAGCAGTTGACCAATCAGAAAACTGCTTTCTCAAGCTACACAGCGCTAGTTTCAAACTGCTGACTTCAATTCCAGATATCACCTCCGTGGTCTAGTGGTAGAGCGTCTGTCCTGAGAACGGACGGTTGGGGGTTCGATCTCTGGCCATGTCACACCTAAAGACGTTAAAATATGGTACTTGTTGTTACCCTGTATGGCACTCGAAATTAGGGGGCTAAAACATGGACTGGTCGCCCAGAGTCAGTATACTATGTCTGAGTGGAGTATTCATGTTAAAGTGCTAGCACTATAAAATCATCATGAGCCCCGGCTAGTACGAGCAGCCACACACGCGCACACACATCCCTGTATAAGTGCAATAATCTTGAATGCGACGTTAAACCCTATTTCACCTCAAGTCCATTCCAGAATCGTTTTGAAAAATATTTTCAAAAATATTTTGATTGAAAATTTGAAAACATAACTACAGAACATTCTGGATTGTCTAATAGACATATTTCCGAGGCAAGAGAGTTAACTGACGATAAAAGTCCAGTTTCCACTGGACTTTTAAAGTCAGTTAACTCTCTTGCCTCGGGAAGATGCTAATAGATGGCCTAGATTGTATGGCGCTACTTCCCTGGGGCTATGCAAAGTCTCTTCTCTTCAGATGTGTATTCCTTTGAAGCTGGAGGTTGATGATTTTGACGGAATCACTCATACAGATCATCGTCGTTCGGAATATCCTTTGTTATAAGAAGACACATTCCGACTGTCACTTTCCCGATCTGGTAAGCAACGCTCTTAGTCGGCTGATGGTTGGTCTGAAAGTTGGTCTGACGTGACCTTTAATAGGATGTCCTCAGATCTTTGTTTAGGAAGCGAGAACTAAGATATGATTTCAGTGAAAATTTGAGGTTATTTTTTACTGTTCTTGATTCATGGCTCTCAACAAACATAAATCTTTGCATCTTGTGTTCCGCTATGTATCCTTAGGTCAGACAACTGTTTTCTGAGTTATGAGATGTTAATTTGCGTTTCAGTAAACAGACACATCTGTTTTGTTGCCAATTACACCAATAAATGTTTTTACAAAAACTGTTTATCTTTCAAGTTGTGTTTTGAATGTCATCAGACAGTATGTGGTTGTTTGTGTTGAACTGCTTGCTTGGGTGTGTGTACATTAATGCTCATGATGTCAGTCATTGGATTGTTTGGTCTAAACTTGATTGTCTAGATATCACCCTCATATAACTTTAAAATACTGGAGTGCAGCATTAAACTACACTGAAACAAACAAGACGACAGGGGTGGGGGTTAATCTATCAGAAAAAACAACTTCTGTGAACTTTTTATTTATTTTCTGCAAGGTTTATTTCACGATAAGACATCTCATACCTGGAGATTCGAACATTCGCTTGCAATTTGACAGTTCGTATTTTGGATGACGTTATTTTTGAAAATCTAGTGAATGTTTTCCATAGATGTAGCCCGGCAACGCTGATAAACGCAATGGCCCAATGACTGCATCCTAAAGCGGGACAGATATGACAATCGGCATAAGGAGAAAAGGTACAGGTGATCGACGTGAGGATTGTGAGAATAGGCAGGAAATACCCACCTGTGCATTACATGGACTTTTAGGACATTGCCGAGGTCGGATTCTTTTGAGGGAGCCATCATTATTTAAATACAGTTAAATATGATTAAAGCTTGTACATGTTATCAACATCCTTAAGGGGGCTGTGCATATGTTGATATCTTATTTAAGAAATAAATTGCATCCTGTTCTGAATAATCACATTTGTTTTTGTTTCCTATGTGACATTTTAATATGGAAACAGACTGAAATTGATGCTCCTGTAACATGAGTACCTTTGTACCTTCTGTTTGTATCTGCGTGCTACCTCTGAGTGCCACCACCTGGTACATCTTTCACATCCCCCTCATCATTGTTTCATGCTGTGTTCATTATATGTTGCCCGCTTCTGCAGTTGAATGTCAGCCAACTAAAAACTCCAACTCTGATACCCTTTTCAGCCTCTGTGACATGTGGGGGCACGAGCGACCTAGTCGTCTAAGAAGCCGCGATTCGCTGTGCAGAGTTGCGTGCCTTGGACACGACAGAATCTTATGATTGTGGGTTCGAATCCCGGTTCGCCCCGATTATGTTTCTAGGTTTGTCAGCACCATACCCATGCTCGTGGGTTTCACCGAAGTGGTAAACGTCTAAGACCTGCATCACTTCGGGCTTTCCCTCCACATTAAGCTGACACGCCGCGATATAACTGGAAGCGACGTTATATCCAACTCACTCACTCTGTGATATGTCTGTCTTCACCAGGGGCGGTCGGGTAGCCTAGTGGTTAAAGCGTTGGTTCGTCACACCGAAGACCCGGGTTCGATTCCCGACATGGGTACAATGTGTGAAGCCCATTTCTGGTGTCCCCCGCCGTGATATTGCTGGAATATTGCTAAAAGCGGCGTAAAACTATACTCACTCACTCACTCACTGTCTTCACCAGGGTTTCCCAAGTCTATTTTTATATTTTCCTGTGCTTCCCACGTTTGGCATCTTGATTTCCTTGGACATCCGCAGATCAGTTGCTACCTGTCTTCTGATTGGTCCTTTGGTTCGCTTCTTTAAACTTCCTTTCTCATGAACTCTTATGGAGGCATTCGTGACCAACTCGTGTTATTCCGGGACAAGCCGAATAGCGGCTCGTGCCCCTCTCGTGGCCATTTTTGCGACCGGGTTCCGTCTTAGCGCAAACGGGCATACCTAAAACAATTGTCAACTCGTTGCGTAATGGTTCACATATATTTCCCCATATATTATATATATTTCAGATGCAATTTAAAGCACATCGGGACATGCGGAATTATACAGTATGATTGGACACA